GGATCGTATCGGAGGGGTGCTCGAGTGTCATATGCGCGAGAATGCAGGGTATTGAAAAGGTGCTCTCAATCTTAAAAATATACGAGTAGTGTTCTCATACAAACCTTAGCCTGCCTGCGGCTGGTATGATAATATTATGATGTGATACCAGAAGGGATTAGAGTCCTAGGGTTGGGGGTTTCACCACTTGCCAAAGTTTCCAAAGGTCCAAGAATAACGAAACCCCAATTTTTCATCATGGGGTGGGCGGTTCGGGAGGGTCGGTCCGCTTTCCCGCCTTATTCTACCCCTCGCTCTTGTGTTAATGCCTCCGATCTATCATAGCCGGGTATCGTACCGGTACGAGGATCATAGATTTCCCCGGTCCCCGCTCTACTACCGGTATTGGGACATTTTGCGACCCTTTAAATACCGTAGCGGTTTTAACCTGCATAGGGTCTTCCAAATCTCAGGGACTACCATCTACGGTACTTGCCGTATTCTTAACTCACAATCAAAGCCAAGTTTTCTTATTCTTCACCGATGGCTTGAAACATACCAGCAAGGCGAGAAGGTAAGCTGTGTGAGTTTATCACCCATGTTCACACCACGAGCAGCTCGCCAATCACAAAGTCTAAACCCTCAATTGTTAATATTAGGAGCCGCAGGATCTATAAAGATCCTGGGTTTGAGTTGCAGCTTGTGTATGGGAATGGATTACAATGGTGGTGTGAACAAGGGTGACGAGCTCACCCTTCTCACCTTCCCACATCCACATTTCGCGCTCTTTAGGCATTTATTTTTGTGATACCTCTGAGATACTTATCTAGTATCCTGGGCCCGCTATCCCTACACCTACTTGTACAACTATCATACCCGCGATAGTGAACCCAACACACGGAGCAAGAATTTGTATGGCAAATTATCAGTATGCATCTGACTCGGATCTGGCGCTTCGTGCTGGACACCGTGCTCAGGTACGGTACTGTCATTGCACGAGTACCTTCCTGCACACGGTCTTATGATCCTCTACTCGTGCTTGTACTCTAATAACCCCATACGGTGGCTTGCGCTGTCTGGGTTCAGAGCTAGGGTTCGTTTATTTGTACCACCCCTCTGCAGTAGACATATTATAATGTATGATACTCGACTACAGTACTCATAGCCTACCGGTAGTACCCTATCTTATCTCTCTCTTTTACAATTTTTTAACCCTCCATAAGTATCTCCTGGCCGCTATGGTAAGCGCAACTGGCAGCGGGTGACAGGAAGCGCCACTCCTCTGTTTTTTGGTGTCATACCTGAACAACGCCATATGAGTAGAACTATTCCAGGGAACTAAGACCGCCAGCTGACACCCAGGGTTTAGCGAGGCCTACTTGTATGATATTGATTTTGCATGATATTGGTCTTGGGTTGTTCGGAAGTTGGTAGTCCTACCTGAGTGGTTTGCTTTTTTACCGTATTCGAGAAGTGCAGATATCATTGCGATTTTAAAGGTTCCTGGGGAACGAACAGGGAAAAAAACGGTTGGGTTTTTCTTTCCTCCTTGTGTCTGGAGAAATAGTAGGAGGAAAAAACCTACCTGTTTGAGCAAAGTCCTTTCATTAAAAAAGGTCCAGCTACAGCTGCCGTACCAACTCAACCAACTCAACCAAGATAATTCTGACGGTCACTACTTGATTTAGACTTAATCCCGGTACCACCATAATGGCCGAGACACATCCAAGACAGGAAGAACGACTCTCTTCAGCCTTTACCTCGTTCCTCAGGGGTTTCCGAGCTTACGATATATACTCGGGGATGGGTGAAGTGCCGTATTGGGACAACCTGTTGTCTGCGCACGATTGCCTTATTTGGGCACTTCTGCGAACTTTTGATTCAGGTCATACACGCTTACGGAGCAAATCCTTGGTAATAATTGATAGCGTAGCCCTTCTGGGAGGTGTGCGTGATTGGATTCAATATGCTTGTAATGTATTATCCTTGTTTGCCGATCCCGCCCCCAAAAATTTTAAGGCAACTATGGACTCCCACACAAGACCCCCCTGCTCTCCCCGATAGCGGTAGTTTACCCCTGCTCCAAGTAGTCTGCACCTTGAGCATCACGACAGCCCGATATCGGTATTAACTCTAGAGGCCGTGGACAAGGTATCGAGATTCTTGCCAACTGAACTTGAAAGAGTTTTCGGGAATCGTGAGCAATATGAGCCAGAATACGAAAAATCTATCCCCCCGGCCCTTAGGGTTTTTGGTGTCCGAATAAGCGTCTGGGCGCTGCGTGGGTTGTGTTGGTTGGTAGACTAATTTACCTATAAATCCAGGATAGAGACCCACTGGACGCATCATGAGGGTTGTCGATGCGATTGATCGCAATGTACCCCTAAGTCATATACTGTTAGGTGGGTTGTAGGTCAAATAGTACTCGTACACCTACAGTACTTGTATCTGGTGAGGAGCTTTGTGATTGTGGCATGTTGTTTCTTCAGATACGTGGGCATTATTATGAGAAGGGTGCTAGGAAAGGGGTTATGAGATCCTCAGGGGTCGAGGGAAGAAGAGAGAAGAGAATCGTCGAGACCGGAGAGGAAGGATATTCAGCAAGAGCAAGGAAGAATTCTGGTACCCAGGTGTTGTTGCGCACAAATTTCGCCGCTTCCTTTCTCCACCTCTCTTAACTTATCCCTTTATTCATCGGCCTTTCCATGCTAGCAAAGGAATAAGTTCTGTGACCCAATGTCCGATCATATCATACCTCTAGCCCATCCATCGCCACCACCTTGACAAGTCTAGATACTCTCATCCTCAGGAGAACATTTATCATCTGTCATCGGTGGAATAATAGACCGTATTCAGGACACCTTCAAGCAAAATTTCCATGCCGCCGAATACCCGCCAAACACCAGACTCGAAAGACTCGCCACAATACTGTAGTGCCATAGTACGTGTCCCCCAATACTAGGGCTCGCCAGATTCTGTGGTGGTTGGTCAGCTTGAAGAAAAACTAATTAAAAGAGAATAAGGGCGATAAGAAGCTGCGGATTCCATGACACCATGGAATCCATGTTATTATTTCATTTCATCATTCATCCTGAGCGCTGGGTAAGAGGGCGTGTTCGGTTGCGTTATAGGGTATGAATTTCTCATCGACAGGCCCGCCGCGAGGGGGAAAAAGCGCGAGATCTTTTCAGGTGAGAGTGGCGGGGGGTCGAAAACCCAGAATAACCGGATCGCAGACCAGAGCGCCGGAGCTGCCCCCCCCAGCAAGGCCGGTCGCATACTTTTTGATCATTTATCTTAGCTGAGGGCTTTTCCCCCCCTAATCTAAAGGTGGAGAAAGTTCTCGGCGTCTTTACTTGGGGTACGATTATTCTACTCGTAGTTTATCCGGTATTTGATATGATAATATTGTTATGGAAAGGGATTTCCAAGATTGTCCGCTATTTTCCCGTGTTTGAATTTAGCTGTTTAAGATGGTTTCCACGTTCTTTTTGGACTTAATAAAATCCATTCATAGCTTTCACCTCACTCGCTTCCTCAACATTTCTATGCCCTTATCGTTAATCTGGTGTTGTCGCCTCCTTCAGTCTGTCTCGGGGGTAGGTTTTACAAGTCCGGCGCTGCACCGAAAGGGTTTAGTCTACCCAATCAACAACCATTTTGTTCTGGTGCTTAACCGTCTTCGCCGAGTGCGACCGGTGGTGCTGTGCAAGTACTAGTACAGTACCGCACTTGCTGCTTGTACGAGTAGACCAACTGAGACAGGGTCTTAACCTGCAGTGGGGGCTATCTGCTGGTGAGGCGCCGATAGGAATTCGCTCGAGCACTGTATGATACTCGTAATTTTCTGACGTTTGAACACGACCGCTATTGCATACCGCCAAAATCTTGAGGCTCCGGCCGATTTTTTGCCCATATGCGGTAGTAGTTGTGTTTCAGAAAAGCATTCCATTAGTACGATCGTAAAGGTGCGGCACGTGAGACTTGTGCGAAGCTCTGATTCGTGCTCGAATACTCGGGTATGACCATAAAAGGTAGGAATCTCTCGGTGGCAAGATAAGGATTGGAAGTGTCGATCGGGGCAGGGGGTGTGCACGAATACAGTGTGTTGCAGGACATCTAGGGTCCAGTTCTGTTGTACGAGTATTACTGTTACCCCCCTCCAGAGATGACAATTGGAGATTCTGGAGGGCTGCGGTACCCGGGGTTGCAAGCAATCCCAATGGGACTGGTCTGCGCTGAACCCAATATCATGATCCTTGCCTTACACTGCACGAACACCCTCTCGTATAGTACTAGCAAGATAATTCGCCCGGTATCCACTCCGGGTTGCTCATGTCAGCAAGGCCCCGTGTTTTTCCATAGTGCAGATCGACTGTCAACTACTCGAGTACCCCATAGGATCTTGCGGAACCTTATTTCTGTCCTTTGTGACCGTCACATAACCCTGGCTTTGTGCGAGATTTTATGGCACTAGCGCATGGTCAAAAAGGGCGAAAAATACAAGGTCTCGTTGACATGATAAACCCGGAGTGCATGCCGGGTAGATTATATTACAAACTGGAGGAGGATGCTGGGGTAGTGTGGGGTAGGAACGGTGAAATTGGGCTCGGTACAGACCAGGTCCCATACAGCGATATTCCGTTAGCCAAATTCTCCAGACTTTTCTCGACCCCCTTCGTACTTCGGAATCTCCAATTCCTGCCCCTGGAAGAATGTAAGTAATAATGCAATTGGTCTGAATTTTTCTGACTTCTACCAAGCCATGCTTCTCTCCGCGGTGTTTACGGATTAATCAGCATATTCTAATCCCTGCTTTGCCGCAAGTTTTCCGCCTTTTGCGATTTGCGGGAGTACTGTACTACCGGTAGTGGAGTGTCTATACAAGTACAGTGCAGTGCAGCCTTCGTTGGGCAGCCTTCTTTCTTTCTTTTCTTCGTTGTCACTTTAAATTTTCAAACAACATCGCCTAACCAGATCAACTCTGAAGAATTACGAGCATCACTTGACTGCGCTTTATTATCACACCTACCTTCGATCCTAACTTCCTCCAACTACCCCCTATATCTTTGCGAGGCCCTGCCAAGGACGTAAGAAATGGGCGGAATCTCCACTTCTTCGGACGCCCGGGCCTCTTGCCGGTCAGTCCTCTTATCCTCTCACACGCGCCTGCTAGATTCGCCGTCGCTAAGCCAACTGAACAGCGTGCAAAACGATCGAACCCTAACCAAATCAGCCTCCCGGAGCCCCGGGTCGGGGGACACCCGGGAGCAGGTCTCTATGGCGAGTGGAATGCCTCAAGCCTCTGGAGGGGTTCACGATCCGCCCCCAACCTGGTGGATACTGGTGGCTAGTTTAGTGTGCAAGTGGTTAGTCGAACAAGTCGATCGTGACCCTATACTGAGTAGAATTTAGCCATATACTTACGATGTGCCCCCCACATCTCGTTATTCTAAGGATATAGTTTCGTGAGCTTATTTGATGCCATGTCGAGGGCGAGCCAGCAAGACAACTCCAAGAGACCCGCTAGCCCTCTGCCCGAAACTCGCCCTACGCATGGTGTGAGGATTGGCAATAATAACCGAAATTGTGGGAACATCGATAGCAGCTACAACACGATAAATTATATCGGGAACACAAAGAACTTTGGGCAAGGCGGAGTGGTCATTTTCAATGGTGCTACTGTTCACTAAGGTCCACGATTCTATCCTCCCCCAGTTTATCGGCCGTGTTATTGCCATAGACGGTAGACGGGCGGGGTTTTCGCGGTCCTCTGTGGGGTGTGTGATATGATTCAGTTGGTCCAGTAATTTATCGCATCCTAGTTACCTACCGGAAGGCCGCGGACCGGCTTAGTCTGTCTAACCCGAGACTAGATGCCGCCGTCAACAGCCACTAGGAATCCTTCGACCTTAAATGTCTTTTCTCTATGTTCTACGGTTTTAAGAAAATTGGTTTTGTTTTTATATTGCACTTTACGATTTTCCACGACGCCACGCCTGTCCTGTCCCCGCAATCCCCCTTCTACGCTCTCCTCAACTCAGAGAAACATTGTAGGTTGCTTTTTCATGTAATAGCACCATTTTGTTTTACTTTTTTTCTCATTTTATTGATAATGTGGTCGTTCTACTACCGTTTCTACCGATTTATATCGTGGCCGTTGCCGTTTTACAGTTATAGTAGTCTTCAGTGCAAAAGTCATTCATTACGCGCACTGGTGCGCCGGCCGACAAGGAGAACAGAGTTTTCAGTACCTTTCAGAACCGCCCCATGTTCCTCAAGCCCCCGGACACCCTACTCAGGAGAGTTTTATGCAAGAGGATTAATATATTCCAGATTTGTGGTTGCACTGCTGTTTGTCCAAGTCGGGCTTCAGCGTATGGGCTACGGAGAAAAGATACATAATGTGGAACCCGATGATGGGTGGGTTTTGCGAGCGAGCAAGCCTTGTATACCCGTCCTAGTATCAAAAAAAGTACGATCCAAAAAAGGAATCAGGGGGAATGAAATAAGGTACTGTTGATAGAGCCCATCCGTCACAAATATGGAAAACGAGTATCAACCTAGAGAGGGGATACCCAGAACTGGTGTAACATAGGGAGTAGGGGGGTCAATATGGCCGGGCGACATGCTCCACAAACAAAAGTACCCGAGTGATATTCCATGATCGCGTGTCCGAAGGGGGAGAGATGTCGGAAATAATCCCAAACAGAGCCTCACAATCCTGACGCCCCCTAGGGCGGGACTGCACCGTTGTTTTTGCTAGAAATTCATCCACGAATTTGAAAGTCTGGCCGCTATAGAAGATGGGATGGGAGAACTCAAAGTCCTGTCCATGACCCCAAGTCTTGTATTGATGGTTCTTGATGCTCTGCTAGCCTGGGACCGAGCCAGATTTAGCCTGGCGCCGGCAAGATCTACTCTCGTTGCCATCGTATTTGGTGTCAGACGTGTTGGAGAGTTTATCCTTGCCATTGTAGTGGTTGCCGGGGCTGGGGATGTGGTTGTGACGGGAGCGTTGTCCATTTCCACCAAAGTCAGTAAGAGGTTCTCGCGACAGGAGATAGAGGGAATAGTGTGGCAGTATGAATAACCCGTATTGTGATATTATTCGTGGGAGGGGTAAAGTGTTGGAGCAGCAGGGATGGGGAGCAGTGAAATTTGGGGTGGTAGGCGGAGCAAGGCTGAGGGGTCGGGAGTCCAACAGTAGGGGTATATAGCTTTGCGTGACAGTAATGTGCTACCGTAGTGCTTCTAATAAACTGCTTTACTGACTTTGGAGACACTTTTTTCTTTTGACCTTCGTTCGGTCAATCGTTAATTGCTATTTCGTCAATAGGTTACCCGAAGAAGGCTCTTGTTGGCTCAGTTCCCTTTTTGAGGTGACTCGAGATATCTCGGACATTTGGATGTTTTTTCTTCTCACTCCGTTCGGTCTATCGAGCGATTGCGAAGTTACACTGATTAGGAGACGGCCCAGTAAGTCGATGCTCACAAAGTTTGGGACGAGAGAAGGAAAGTAGCGCAGTACGTAGATTTGACAGTTTATGCTCACTTGCTGAAAGTTGGCTGAGAAGAGATTTGGTGAAATTTACCATTCCTTTCGCTAAAATACGGGGATACCAGTACTCCAATGATTGTATTCTTTGCATCTATGCATAATACCGGAGTAACTGGCGAGAACCATCTGGATCGTATCTTAAAATGAGGAGCAGCGGAGGTAAAACTTACGACTGCGCCAAAATCAGCGCTTTGACGGCTTTGGTCCAGGGGATTTTGAGAAAAATCAAGAATAGGGAGCTTTTCTGGACGTGCCGGCACCTGGTGGTATTTCATTCGGGAGAGCTTGGTGTATATTTCATATTTCACGCAAGAATAAGGTGTTTGTATTAAATATGTCGGAGGAGGTTCTCTATCTTTAGCTCTTTAGCAGAAGCTCGAAGCATAGAATTTAGATCGCTAATATTGATATTGCACTCCTGAACGGAGCATTTCGTCCCTTTTGGGTGGGGGTTCTTAGGCTGGGAGGGAGATGGTATTTAAGGTTGTTCGAATTATTTTAGGGAGGCCAGAAAAATGCCTTTGTGTGATGTTGTGTGAGATGGGGTGTGTGCACTTTGCTAGTCGGGTATCTGGTTTCCGATAGAGAGTATCACGGTAGGAGGCCCAGGCAATACTGGAAACGCAACCCTTCCGTTGCTCAGCAAAGGTATATCAGACAGTACTAATATCATACTCTTTCGATAGATGGATTGAATTAGGATTTATATACCTCATCGACCAATCACACTTACCAGAAGTTGGCCTAGGCAAGAGGAAACAAAGAGCTTTTCCAGAGTCATGTTGAGCGCACCGCAGCTACTGAAATTTTAGCGATACTACTTTTTATCGCATGACCTTTGTAGTACCAGTACAATCCAACCCCAATATCCCAGCAATAGTGCCAGCAGTACCGCATTCCCACAGGAAATATGACACAAGGAGGAACTACGCTCCCTCTTAGGAAATTCAAGAGAGCAGCAAAGACCAGAGAAGCAAGAAATTTGTATCCAAAACATTGCTGGTTTTGAGAGCTTTTCAGGTACTGGGAGTGTGAGTGTTCGACTCACCAACCACCCCACTCCGTATTGCTTTTTTATTTTTAGCATTTACACTTGACTGCCCCTTTTGATGAGAATTTGCCTTTTCCCTCTCACGCTTCGACTGTTGTTTCTGTATCTGGTATGGGTAGGATGGGGGTTTTCCTTTCCGGTTGGGTAGCGCGGTGCGATAGTTGTATTTATCAGTACTTAGTGTTAGATACAAGAGCCGGTAGTTCATGCAGGAGTTACGGTTGATTTTTGGCTGTTGGGGTTTTATAAAGCCATCGTCGCTCCCCGTCTGACGTCTGCACTCACTGCCCTCAACTACCCCTCCACTACATTCGACACCAACTTGTTGGTATCGGATTCAAACAGCACAATACTTCACTGCCGGTACTAACTTGGCTCAAACACCATCTCCACTTCCTTGCCACAACCAAATTCTTCTCTAACCTCCTCCAACCATACCTCCTATTTTTCCATTGCTCAACCAAGAACACACCAGATGGCCCCTTCAGGCTTCCAAACCCAGAGCGAGTAAGTCCTTTCTCTTAAACCTTACTCTATTTGCCCCAAAGGTTCGTTATTGCTAAGCGAACAGAACAGGATTACGAACGGTAGATCCCTAGAAAGATCACATCGTCCCGGGTACGGATTAGAGAACAACCAGCAGCTAGTGGCTGTCATACCACAACCCCCCGGCGAGGCTCGTGTTGTGGCCCAAGACCAGGGAGGGTGGTGGATACCTGCTGGATTGTGGAAATGGTTAGTTGGAAAAAGCCAGATGTACCCTATAGAATCTTGTCATATATGATATCGTACTTACCATATATCACCCAAATACCGGTTTTACCAAGGGTATAGGATCCTGCACTTCATCAATAACGCCCCCGCACCACACCCAGGTCGGCAAGACGGCCAGACCGAAACTCGCCCCACTCATGCCGAGCACGTGGGTGATCGTAGGGAGAATTCCGGAACCATCGAGGGCAGCTACAACACGACAAATTACAGCGGTAACGCAAAAAGCTTTGGGCAAAATGGAAAGGTAACTATTAATGGGGATATCCACTAGGGCCCGCGATTCTATTAGCTAGCTTAGAGGCCGTGTTATCGCCGTACATGATAGACGGGCTGTAATTTCATGATTCCTTATGGAATATGAAACATGTTTTGGTCTATCTCTCTGACCCGAGACTGGGTGCCGTCGCCAACAGCCATTAAGAAACTAGCATTCCTTTTTTTGGGATATTTTTGTGGAATATTTCGGCGGATGAATCTCCTTTATTCATGTTTTTGCAATTTTACTTTATTTTTCTTACTTCTACTGTTCATGCCCATTATTTCCCACGACGTCATGCTCGCTTTAGCACCACGATCCTTCTTACCCTCCCCCCAACTTGATAAAACTTTTTAAAAAGATTCTGTTGTTTCAACACTTCACTTTACATTTTTGTACACCTTCTTGCCCCATATACTGCCCCATATAATGCGTCATTGATTTAAAATCGTTGCAGATTTACATTATGACCATTGTTGTTTTCGCTCTTTGCGATGGATGGGCTTTGTCAATAGTATTGGACTTTGTTTCCCCCATTCCTGTCACGGTCCACATCTTTTGATCTCAGGATGCATATATAAAAAAAGCCTTGCTCGCTGGCAACTTCATCTCATTATCGGGCTCCGCACCATATCTCTTATCCCCATAGCTCCTAAGCTGAAGTCCGACTCAGGCAAACTGCAATCATGAATCCAAATTCAACCCACACGACATAACAGTGCACGGTGTGAATGGCTTTTGCACTTGGGTCAAACTGTAAAAACAGTATCAACCTGGAGGAGGAATGCTCACAACTGGTATAACATGAGAAGTATGATAGGGAAGCTCAATAACTAAGGTGTTAGTCGAGTGATATTCGGTGAAAATCCAGTTAACGGAATACCAAGCGTAATCTCACGATCCCGATGCCTGAGAGGCAGCTCAATATAAGTCACTCACAAACCGGATATGAAAGACGGACTCAAAGTCCTTCCCGTAATCGTAAGCCCTGTGGTGATGGTTCCCAATCCTCCGCTGGTCCGGGCCGAGCCAGATTAAACCTAGCGATCGCGGGACCTGCTCTCGTTGCCATCGCCCCCCTGTGTCAGACATGTTGAAGTATTTACCTTTGCCGTTACAGTGGTTGTCAGGGCTGGGAATGTGGTTGTGAGGGGAATGTTGTCCAGCTCTACCAAAGTCTGTACGAGGCTCTCGCAACAAGAAATAGAGGAAATAATGTAGCAGTATGAAAAACCCGCATTTTGGTATCCTTCGTGGGAGGGGGGAAGTGCTGCAGCAACAGGTATGGGGAGAAGTGAAATTTGGGGCGGCAGGCAGAACAAGGCTGAGGCGTCGGGAGTCCGAAATCAGGGGTATATATATAGCCTTGTGTGACAACAATGAGCGAGTGCTTCTGATCAAGTGCATTACCTGACTTTGGCGACACATTTTTTTTTTGACTCCAGTTCGGTCAACTGTTTATTGCTATTTCGTCGATAGGTTATCCGAAGAAGGCTCTTGTTGGCTCCTTTTTCCTTTTTGAGGTAACTCGGGCTATCTCGGACATTTGAAGGGGTTTTTTTTCTAGCCCTGTCCAGTCTATCGGGCGATTGTGGGGTCACAGTGATCAGGATACCTCGCACTAAGTCGATGATGACGGGGTCGGGGCGAAATGGAGGAAAGGAGCTCAGTATGTGAATTGGACAGTTCTTACTCGCTTGTTGAAAGTTGCCTGAGAAGGGATTTGGCGGAGCTTACCGTCCCATTCGCTAAAATACGGGCATACCAGTGCTCCAATAATGGTATTTTTTGCGTCTATGATACCGCAGTAACTGGTGAGAACCGTCTGGATAGTACAGTACCTTGAAATGGGGAGCAGTGGAGGTAAAGTCTTACAACCTCGCCAGAATCAGCGCTCTGAAGGGTTTGGTCCCGGCGATAGGGAGCTAGGAAATGGCAATTTTGAGAAAAATTAGGGATAAAGATCTTGTTTGGACAAGCTGGCGCCCGGCGGTATTTCATTTCGGGATAGATTGGTGTATATCTCATCTCAGGCGAGATTAGGGTGTTTGTATATGTATGCCGGAGGAGGTTCGCTATCTTTAACTCTTTAAGGGAAGCTCGAAGCACAGACTTTAGGTCTCTAATATTGATACTATATTCTTGAACAGGGCATTTTGTCACTTTTTGGTGGTCCTTAGGCTGGGAAGGAGATGGTATTTAAGGTTGCTCGGGTTGTTTTGGGGGGGTGGGAGAGATGCCTTTGCGTGATGTTGTGTGAGATAGAGTGTGTGTACTTTATCAGTCGGGTATGATATTTGGTTACCGATAGAGAGTATTGTGGTACGAGGCTCAGGGAATAAGAATTTGTATCATATGGAGTGGTGGTTATGATAACCTTGATCAGAATTAGTGGTATCATAATCTCTTCGATAGACGGATTAAATTAGGGTTTGTATACCTCATCCACCAATTGTGCTTCCCAGAAGTTGACCCAGGCAAGAGGAAACAAAGAGCTTTTCCAGGGTCACGTTTCTTGAGTGTACCACAGCTACTAAATCTTTAGCTGTTAACCGTATGATATCATACTAACTTACCTTTTATAGCGCCACTTTTGTAGCACCGGTGCAATTTAACACTAATGTCCCAGAAGTAGTGCCAGCAGTAGCGCACTCCCACAGGAAATATGACACAGGGAGGAACTGCATCCCCTTTTAGGGCATTCAAGAGAGCAGCCAAGACTGGAGAAGCAAAAAATTCGTATCCAAAACTCCCCTGGTTTTAAGAGCTTTCTAGGTGTTGGGAGGGTTGTGTTCTGTATTGCTTTTTCACTTTTAGCCTTTGGACACTTGACTCACCCTTTTAGTAAGAATTTTCTTTTTTCCTCTCGCGCTTCCACAGGTGTTCCTATATCTGGTATGGATAGGAGAGGGGTTTTCTTTTTCTGGTTGGGTAGTGCGGCCCACTGGTTGCACTTCTGGACACTTGTATCAGATACAAGTACCGGTAGTTTGCGCAGGAGTTCTGGTTGATTTTGGACTGCTACTAGTTGGGGCTTTATAATACCATCCGTATTCCCAGTCTGACGCCAACTGCACTCGATTGCCCCCCACTACATTGGACATCAGCTTGCTGGTATCGTATTCAAACAACATTGCCAGGACAAGCACTTCACCACCGGTCCTAGGCTCAAACCACATCTACACTTCCTTACCACAACCAACTTCGATCCCAACCTCTTCCAACTACACCTCTCATATTTTTTCCTGGCCCAGCCAAGAACATACCAGATGGCCCCTCCAGGCTCCCAGGTCCCGAGCCAGTAAGTCCTTTCTCTTAAGCCTTTCTTTATAGGCCCCAAAGGTTCGCTATGGCTAAGCTAATAGAACAGGGTTACGGATGGTAGATCCCCAGCAAGATTACGTCGCCTGGGGTACGAATTGGAGAACGACCAGCAGGTAGTGACTGCTAGGCCGCGACCCACCGGAGAGGTTCGTGATGTGACCCAAGACCAGGGAGGCTGGTGGATACCTGCCGAATGGTGGAAATGGTTAGTTGGGAAAAGCCAAATATACCCTATAGAATCTTGTCGTGTATGATATCGTACTTACCATATATCACCCAAATACCGTTTTCCCAAGGGTATAGGATCGTGGGTCTCTTTATTCACACCCGCATGTCACACCCAGGCCAGCAAGACGGCCAGCCCGAAACTCGCCCCACGCATAATGTGCAGATTGGCGATCATAACCAGAATTCCGGGACCATCCAGAACAGCTACAACACGACAAATTACAGGGATAACGCAAAAAACTTTGGGCAAAATGGAACGGTAACTATTAATGGGGACATCCGCTAAGGTCCACGATTCTATCAACTAGCTTAGAGGCCGTGTTATCGCCGTACATGATAGACGGGCTGTGGTTTCATGATTCCTTATGGAATGTGCAATATCCCTTGGTCTATCTCTCTGACCCGAAATTGGGTGCTGTTGCCAACAGCCATTAAAAAACTAATATCTTTTTTGGGGGGATATTTTTGTGAAATCTTTCCGCGCATAAATCTCTTTTGTTCGTGGTTTACAATTTTGCTTTATAATCTTACATCTACTGTTCATACCCATGATTTCTCACGACGTTATTCTCGCTTTAGCACCACGATCCCTCTTACCCTCCCCCCAACTTGATAAAATTTTAAAAAAAATTCTGTTGTTTCAACACTTTGCTATACATTTCTATACGCCTTTTGCCCCATATACTGCCCTATATAATGCGCCATTGATTTAAAACCGTTACAGATCTACATCATGACCATTGTTGTTCCACGGTTTGACCCGGGTGCGAAAGCCATTCAACAGGTAATATCACTGCAAGCCGAGTGATATTCTATGGCCCAGGAGTCAAGATAACGGAAGAGCACCAGGCGGAATCTCACGATCCCGATACTTTAGAGGCAGGTCTATATAAGCCATTCAAAAGATCGGAAGTCTGGCCGCTATGAAAGGCGGACTCGAAGTCCTTCCCATGACCCTAAGCCTGTATTGATGGTTCCTAATCCGCCGCTGTTCCGGGCCGAGCCAGATTGCTCCTGGCTCTCGCGAGATCTACTCTCGTTGCCATCGCCTCTAGTGTCGGACATGTTGGAGTGTTTATCTTTGCCGTTATAGTGGTTTTTAGGGCTGGGGCTGTTATTTCGAGAGGAGTGTTGGCATTTTTTCTAAAGTCACTACAAAACTCTCGTAACAAGCAATAGAGGAAATAGTGTGGCAGTATGAATGACCCGCGTTTTGGTATTATTGAGAAATGGTGGGAGGGGGAAAGTGTTGCGGCGATAGAGATGTAAAGTTTGGGGTGGTAAGTAGAGCAATGCTGAGGAGCCGGGGGATCAAAGTTTAGGGGTTTGAAGCATTGTGTAACAAACAGCAATACGAGGGTGCCTCTCTAGACTGCGCGTGTGTCACCGACTCTGACAGCGCTCTTTCTCTTTTTGGCTCTCTTTTGATCGATTGCTAACCTCTTTTTTCTAAAAGACTTGGGAGGCCGAAGGAACCCGAAAAAGAAAAACTCGAGTGTCTTTGATAGCTAAAGTCTTAACCCCACCGGTGACGAAACTGGACTGGTGACGAACAAGAACCGGTATATAACAAATAATTTCTCGCTGCCCTGCTTGGACGATTTACCTTTTCCTCACCAAATACCATTTTTCCTCACCGGCACTGTTTCGTCCCGGGTACAGTACGGTGAAGGCTGTTACTATAATAAGACACTTTCCGGGGGCTTTACGATTGTGTTGTATTGGTTTTATGGGGAAGTTGAGGTCTATAAGTGTCTTTACCATTACTTGAAGAAGGCTCTAGTTAGCTCCTGTTTTAATTTTTACTGTGACTCGAGCTATCTGGGACATTCAAAGGGAAATTCTTTTCTTTTTCTTTGACTTTGCTCAGTCTCTCAGGTGATTTTGGGATCGCAGCAATAAGAACATGCGCTGAGAATAGATGCGTACAAAGTTGGGGTGAGAGAAGAAAAGAAGCCTAGTATCTAAGTTTGGCTGCTTGTGCTTTGGCGTTGAGCAGGGTAATTAGTTTTTAGAGAGGTTTACCATCCACCCCGTGCATCCTTTGCATATGGGATACCGCATTAACTGGCGACAGTCATCTACACATCATAATACGAATCAGCGCCCCGAAGGGTCTAGTCCTGGCTACAAAGTGTCAGGATACGACATTTTATTGGGATCTTGAGAAAAAAACAAGGATAAAAACCCTATCTGGACCCATTGAACCCCCGACGGTTCTCGCTAGTTAAGGCGGTATTTCATTTTGGGATGGATTGGTATATATTTCATATTTCACGGGAGGTTGAGGTGTTTGGCCGCAGTTCTGGGCAGATCTTTTCGTCCGATGCGTGATTACACCAAAGGCATCTATCTACCCTTGCCACCCTCCCATAGGACAATGCCAAGGAGAGTCTACCAAAAATTGGTAGCGCATTGGTAGACCTATGGATGACATGGGGAATATTATAAAGCAGTAGGGGAAATACCATTTAGGTGTGAGGTATTGGTTGCTATGTACTTTTTTGTCTGGAGACCCACACAAAAATCTAGGTTACTTTCACACAAGCCAAAACTATCGTAAACAATGAGCACAGCGTTGATTCTCTGTAGTTCCACTTCTAAAGGTTTAGATGAATAGAAATTGTCTAGCTGGTGGAAAAATTTAAAGTGTTTTCAAGAGGGTAGCATTGGGAATTGTCGGTTTGAAAATTTTCATTTTTCGCTACGTTCGCTGCTAGTGTAAGACCCTCTCTATCTGGCGAAAAGCTTTGAGCCTTGTTTTATTGCATGAGATGGGGTGTGTGCAATTTATCGGTGGGCAATCTGGTTACGGTCGCCAGGGTAAAGTATTGTGGAAGCACCGGTGCAGTACAGTACTACACAACCACAACGAATAAATATGATGCTGGGAGGGGCTGCCTTGTCTCCCAGGAAATTCAAGAGAGCGGTCAAGACCAGAGGGGAAGTGGGGAATGCCTGATCGAAAGTGCTGATTTTTAGAGCTTGCCGAACACTTGGAGGGCTGTGTTCATCTGAAAATTCTGCCGTGTATTACTGTTTCACTCTTAACCTCTGAACACCTGATGACCATTTTAAGTGAGAGCTTTAATCTTTTCCTCTCGCGCTTCGGCGGCTGTGCAAGTATCTGGCATAAATGAGAGGAATTTTGTTTTCCTCGTTGGGTAGTGCGAAACAATAGCAGTATTTACTGGTATCATAATATTATTTACTAAATGTCTAACACAAGTGATTCACACGGGCTTGTTTGACCCTTGGTTGCTGCCAGCTAGAACTATAGAAAAGCAGTTGCAATTCAGTGCCTTTTCTCTAAAAGCCACATCTACACCCCATTCCAGCAACCAACCCCAGCCCTATCTTACTCCAACTCCACCTTCTATTATTTTTTCTGGAGCCAAATGAGGACGCATACATGGGGAGTATCTCCACTTCCCCGGATGGCCGGACCCCCGTGGGGCGGTTCTCTTTCCCGGATCCCCCTACGCGAACTCCAAAGTTTTTCAGTTGTTGAGCCAATTGAAAATGCCTAAGAGTAATCACCAATCCCTATTCAACCCACCTCGTCAAGGGGAGGGGAAAGCATCGGAGGGGGCTCAGGAGCAGACCTCCCTAGTGGGTAGTTGGCCACATTCCGCCTGCGGAATTCACGGTACGACCTCGGCCCAGGAGAGCAGGTTTGTACCCTTTCTGTGCCACTTGCCAGTTGGAAAAAGAAAAATAATATTATGTCCTAACAGATTTTAGTCGTTTACTGACCATGTATCTTCTAAGAATCGTTCTCCCAAGGATATAGGTTCGAGCACCCACTTAGTTTTTTTTTCATGTTCGGGACACATGGGAAGAGCAATTCCAAGGGACGCGCCTGCACCAAACCTGAATTTCCCCTCGGGATGAGTATGAGTGTCGGTGATGACGATACAGATTGCGGCGACACGGGGGACTGCGCCAGCATAACTCATGATATCTACGTTGACACAAAGGGCGGGGGTGATCATGGCGAGGAAGGTGATTTCTCTCTACCCAGGCTTCTCTCTGGGATGAAGGCGAGTGTTGGTAATTACAATAAGGGCCCCGGGAACGTTAAGGGTTGTGGCGGCGCGACCAAAAATTACTATGAGAACACGAAACCCAGGAGCGAACCTGCGAGGAAGAAATAGCGTAAGAACTCGAACAATTAGACCTCGCGCTAAGACTTCCAAAATTTCCTATCTTAGATAGCGGGGTGAAAACACTGCGAAAAACCGACCTCCTCAATCTCAGCTTGACAAAAGTAAAAAAGTACAACACCTTACTAGCAAGGCAACTCCAACGTTCTAGCGCGAGGCTCAATTATCCGAGTTCTTATCATACGAGTAAAATGGTCTGTCTACCTTCAAACAGGGCTCGGAATCCTATTCGTTCGCTTGGCACCCGTATTGTTTTCGTGGGTGAGAGATCGGTGGGGCTTTATGATTCACAATGCTTACGCACAAAATAAAGGGCTGTTCGGCGCCATGGTTTTGCAACAGCAGTTGCAAAAGTCCGCCAAGCAGCCCTTAAGATATGGCGCAACGTGCATCGCATTTTGCTTGCATCTCTTCGTTGATGTGCAGCATAACTTGATTCGCGCCCAAGCATGGGATGTGTGACACCAGTGCCGTGTGCTCCGTCGATCCGGCCAACGGAAGACTACGAGTAGACACCACCTCCAACAACCGCCGAAGGAATATTACCTTTGGGATATTTTCGAAGAATTCAACTCATTTCCCATGTTTTTGTTTTTTTTACAAAATTTATATATATATGATATATATATATTTCTTATGCATTGTTCGTACACTACCCCATGATTGTCCCCAGCGTCGCGCTCGTTTCGACTGCACAATTCCCTTCTTCTCTCTCCTTAACTTGAAGAAAAATTTCCTGTTGCTTTCGCGCGTCATGGTATCACTTGTCCTACTTTTTTCTTTGTCCAATTTATGGTGCCATCAATCTACTACAATTACCGCCTGTTTATCTCATGACTGTTGTTGTTTTACAGTTAGTCCCCAGTGCAAAAGTCATTCATTCAGGTCATTTGTATGTCCTTTGGGCAACAAGAGGCATAGGGCTTTCACCGCATTTCTAGCCCGCCTCTTGTTCCATGAGTTCCTGGACACACTGCTCAGGAGAATTTTAGGCGAGAAATAAATTCAGATTCGTAATTGCACTGCAGTTTTCCCAAGTCGGACTTCAGCTCTGGGGTTCCGGAGATGATGCACTTGCGAGCGAGCAAGGCTTTTATATGACATCACTCCCTGAGATTAAAAAGTACGGGCCGGGAAGGAAAAAGGAAGAAATAAAGTCAAGTGCTGTTGATAAAGCCCACCCCTCACGGAAACCAAAACAAAGCGTCAACCTAGAGGAAGGATACCCAAAACTGGTGTGGCATTGGGAGTAGGGAAGAGTTAGTACTAGCATGACACCAACAAGTTCCACGACCGATTCGACGAGTGATATCATATGATTCTAAACAGATATAGGAAGAGTCCCGAGCGCAATCCCACGCATTATTGAATAACGAATTTTGCCATCTCCTAGTTGCGTCCAGCATAGAGAGAGTATTACAGCGCGCCTAAATGGTGGTGATCTCAGCCCCACCGAATTGAAGATGCAAACATTCTATCGGTGTGGAATCTTGTTACTGCTGCCGGCAGTGATGGAGTATTGTAGCAGCGCTACACCATTAATTCATCTCCATTTTCCCAACAGCAGTGTCAGCAATTCTGTGCACCCACAGGAAGAAAAAATGACACTAAGGGAATCTGCATTCCCTCCCGGGGCAATTGCGGGGGGGGGGGGGGCGACAAGGGCTGAAGAAGCTAGAGGTGCCTAACCTGAGGTGCCTAATCTGATATGTTCCAATTTAGGGCATTTGCCGAACACTGGGAGGGCAATTCTCAATCTCTCAATCCTCCTCTACACTACAGTTTTATTCTTAGCCTTCGGATACCTGGATGCCATGAATCGGCAAGAATTTGCTTCTCCTCTCCAGCTACGGCGGCTGTGCCTCTGCGCGGTGAGGATGGGGTGGTGTCCCTTTTTTTCTCCCCGGTAGGGCGGTTGTGTATGTAGCAGCAGCGGCTGTATTTTTTCCTGAAACTTATCGCCAAACAAAAGCAATTCATGCTCGCCTCGTTTGTCTTTGGATGCTACCAATTGGGGCTTTATAAAAGCCATTCACGCTCCCCGTCGAATACCAACTACCCTCAACTGCATTCGACATCAGCCTGTTAGCATCAGGTTCAAATATCACTGCCAGAACAAGATCAACAATTTAGCACTAGTTCGGCCCAAACCACATTTACTATTCCTTACCAACCTCCTCCAACCACACCTTTAATCTCTCTGTAGCCCAACCGGGAACGTACCCGATGGACAGTACCTCTTTCACCACTACGGGATTCCAAACCCTCAATAAGTAAGTCCTTCCTCTTAAGTTTTTCCTTGTGTGCCCCAACGGTGTGCTATTGCTAAGCCAACTCAACAGGGAGACCGACGGTAAATCCCTAGTGAGAGCAAATCACCATCACCCTGAGTATGAATCAGGGAACAGCCAGGGGCAGATCTCCCGAGAAGTTTGCGTGCCGCAACCCGCTAGAGAGGTTGATTATGTGGTCACAGGCCCGAGAGGCTGGCGGATAAAGTCACTTGATTTCTTCGAGTGGAAATTGTAAGTTGGGAAAAGCCAAACACACCCCACATGATCTAGCCGTGTGTGATATCATATCTTACTTACCATATATCAACCAAATCCCGTTTTCCAGATGGTATAATATCCGATACATCTTGAGCTACTTTATCCCCATCCCCTTGCCATCCCCCCACCAACCCCAGCAAAACGAGTCTCAGAGAATCACCAACGCCGAAGCCGTCCCCACAGCACCCACGGCACCCACGCATGGCGTGCATATGGGCAGCGATAACCAGCATTCCGGAAACGTCACCAACAGCAACAATTCAACTTCCTATAGGGATGTCGGGACGATGTATAATAACGACGGCCAATCAAAGAGCTACGCTCAGGGGGGAACATTGAATAATAGCGGTACCATGAGCTAGGGCCCGCGATCCTACCCGCCAATTTGTCGGCCCTGTTAGCCCAGTGCATGGCAGGACGGGGGTTTCATGATTCTCTATGGGATGTGTGATATGTTTCGGTCTGTCTGTCCGCCCGGAGACTGGGTGCCACCGCCGCCAACAACTGCTAAGAAAATTTCGTGGAATCCCCCCACCCGGGATTACTTTTACTTGTGTTTCACAATTTTGATTTATTTTTCATTTTTCATTTTGTTTTGTGTTTATGCCCACACTCATTTTAACATCACGATTCCATCCTTACCCCCTCCCTCCTCCTCAACTCGATAAAACTTCTAAAAAAAAAAAAAAAAAAAAAAAGAGCCTGTCGTTTCCGCATGTACTGATAACGCTTTGCTTTACAAATTATCCCCTCCCTTGCGTTTTTTTTTACAATCTTTACCACCAATTCATATCATGACCGCTGTTGTTGTTTCACAGCTTGACCCAAGTGCAATAAAAGCTATTCGCGCCGTGCACCGATATGCCGTGTGACCTACAAGAGGATTGAATCCGGATCCATAATCGCAGTTGCCTAAGCCGGACTCGAGCTTAGGGGCTATGTGGATAAGGTAAATGATGTGAAGCCCAACGATGGACAACAAGGTTCCGCAGCTAAGTGGCCGAGTGACACCCTATGAAAAAAGATTCGGAAGAGCCCCAAGCGGAATCTTACGATCCCGGTATCGTAGCTCAAAAGTATGATAGGTCAATATAAGCCATTCACGAATCAGGAGTTTGGCCACCATGAAGGGTGGTATGAGAGAACTCAAAGCCCCTCCCGTGATCGTAACCGCCCTACAAATGCTTCCTGATGGTCGGCTGGGCAGGGTATCTTGGAGCGCTTATCTCCGCCGCTGTCGTTTCCGGGGATGAGGTTGTCATTGCGGGGTGAAAGTTTCAGACCATTCGAATATTAGATATGCGATTGCACTCGCCCTTATCATCACTAGGGAGTACCGAGGTAGCGCCTTGGTCATTTCTTCCTTGGACATTGACACAGGCGGCAATAGGTTTTTATCAATTCCAACAGTTTGGGGGGGGGGGTTGGAAGCTGCGCTCCTACAGAGCGGGATCCCCGAGCATCATACTTGCTTGTTAGATCGTACGGGGCGATGATTGTTGGAAATGTTACGATAGCATAGGTGTAAACGCATGAACTCTCTCAGGTGGTGGGAAGCATGAGGCTGAGGAGTACAGTACCCCATTCGTCCGATATCCGGGGGTGGAGCCTTGTCTACCGGTAGTATCGTTGTGCTTCTAGGCGAGCACCCGGCGGCTCTGACGCGGACAGCACAAAAAAAAAAAAAATTTGACTGTTGATCGATCAATTGCTAAATCAGAATGCCATGCGGGGAAACTCGAATCAGAATAAAGTCGGAGCGAGAGAGAGAGAAGGAACAAAACCTAGCGCCTTGTGACTCCCGATTGTTTATGCTCGCTCGTTGTGCGATACTGTGCCTGTACTGTACTCGAACTCGGGAAAGTCGGTGGAGTAAGGAATTAGCCGAAGCTGACCCACCCACCCTGCCAGAACACGTGCATGCATACCCACGTATGTCTTTCTTCGCATACTCGAGTAAGAGTACAGTACTCGAGCACCGTAGGCGACATTTCATCTTGGAGTATTGGTATTGTAAGAAGATTTAATTTTCTCCTTATTTTAGAGAGGGTTAATTTCTTTCTTTTGTCATGATATTATGATAAATTCATGGATTTATTCAGGTACAATACCAGGACTTACCCGCTGTACTGTACTGTACAAGTATACAACCCAATTTAAATCTGGAGGATAAAAGTGCATAACAGTGCGCAAAAAAAAAAAAATCTCGAAAATCGGACTTCATTATGACTCAACCATAAGCGACTCAATTCAAAAGATGAAGGAGCATAATGAAGCGGTGAAGAAGGTGTAGCCCTTTCCTGTCATTTATCAAGATAATTAATCGAATTGGAGTCAAAGGATCCATCGAGAGGTAAGGGTGGGCAGTGGGTGTTCAAAGTTCCCAATCGATGGCACTTAAATCAGGGTAACCTTGACCACCGGTGTTTGTTGGTCTGGGGTCATATTCCGAAGGTTGTGTACGAGTATTCATTGAGAATACCATACCTTTCACACTGAATACCTAGAGAACTCAGGTGCTAGGTACTACATTTGACACACACCGCCTCCCTTTACTCCATCTTCACAAGTAAAATATAGCCCATATCACAGCATTGTTGTTGAGTTTGGATATTGTAACATTTTCTTTGAAGAAAACTAAAGAGGCTACTGTTGCGAGCGGTAAAACTCATGCACTTTTGTCCTCTAGGTATATGACGTAAAGGTCCAAATCACGCGCATTCCAACCCTGTCCAATGTCCTCCACCCCTACAGTACGCCCAGGATAGAGCCAACCGCACATCCCCCCTCAAAGCGGGAAAGGCGGGCAGAGAGGGGAAGCGCCACCAGTACTCGAGTAGACACCAAAAACGGGGCAAACGAGAATGACTGTAACGACGAATAATTCCAAATAACTTCATCCACCGAGCCCCACCAGAGAAAGAGGGTTCACAGTGCAAAACCTTAGTCTTTTTTTTCGGACAAGAAACCTTTATTGCCTTTGGGGCGGCACCCCCTGGGTGCGCTGGCTCCTGGAAGATAAATACCAAAAAGTTTGACAGAAGGCTTTGGAATTTGTGGACCGATCGGGCCGGTAGGAGGAGGTTGTGTCGACCCGAATAAGTAGCTCTTTGCTTCCCGTATCGTACAAGTACTCGAGTAGCTATGTGCAAGTACCGTACTGCACTGTACTGTACGTGCTGGTGCCAGCCATGATGTTTTCATCCCACAATGAGTCACTTTCCAAACGCCTATGAAGCTTCAGGAAGGGTTAGAGTGTTTGTCTATATACATTATTTCACAGCTGCAACAAGTCCATTAATCCAGTGCATTCAACGGCGGGTTTTGTCACTTCGTGGTGCTAGGCCTGGGAGGGGTATCGCGTCGAAAGCTTCTAGAATCCTGTCGGAGGGATAAACAAGGCGCTTTTGCATGAGGTTGTATGGGATGGGAGGGTGTGAGCTTTGTCACTGAGATATCCGATTACCTTTTCCAGTAATAAAGTGTTGGGATAGCAGCGGTAAGGCAAGGCTCGTCTCCAATGTCTCATCAAGAACGCCAACAATACCGTACAAGTGTACTGCACACCTCAGCAACACCTAGCTGCCACGAATCACTAAGAATTTGTTTTTGCTAGAGCGATTCGGCTCCTGTGCCTGAATGAGCCAGTATTAATGCCGGGGTTCTCTTTTTTTCCCCCGCTTGTTAGCACCCGATTCAAGTGTTGCCGCCCGAATCCGATCCGACACTTGGATTACCAAAAATACCCCTGTGCTATGATACATTATAAACGCCCTGACTGCCCCTCATTCCCACAGCCTGCTTCGGTATCAACATACCCCAACTCCACCTTCTACTAGTTCAAGATCCAGCCAAGAATATACAAAATGAGTGGTACCACCTCCTTCTCGGGTGCCCAAACCTCTTACATGTCAGTCCTTTCTGTTATTAAGTCTTCCTACGCGAGTCCCAAAGGTTGTTATTGTTAAATTAACAGAACAGGATCCCCAGCGATAAATCCTTAGTCCTATCCACCCCTCCGGACTCTGAATCCGAGGACACTTACGCAACGCGCAGCAAGTCACAACCCACAAGAAGGATTCCCGATCCTACCCCAACCGGAAGTTACTGGTCGCATCAGCAAAGCAATTCCGAGAAGCCCGCCGGCCCTCAGCCTGAGAGTTCAGCCACCATCAATCTGCATCTTGGTGACGATAACGATGGTTGCGGTATCATGCAGAATTCTTTCAATACAACTATTACTTACAGCGGAGAGAAAATATCTGAGATTGAACGTGTCATGGGAAGCGGGCCTCAATTCAAATCTCAGCCTACGATAGTTGCTAGTGCTGGTAAACGCAACAAAAATTCCATCCAATTTAGGGATGTCGGAGCCACGCGTATTATTATCAACGACGGCACAAAGGTCGAGGATGCGCATCAGAGGCAGAAGCGGAAAGGCCCTGACTCCAGCTAGAGCTCAGAATTCTATCCGCTAACTTAGCACCCATGCATAGGTGAGAAAAGGGTGGGGGTTTCATGATCCTCTATGGGATGTATGAAATGCTTTTCTGTGGATCAGGCTAATCAGAGACTAGACACCATCGCCAACATCCACCAAAGGCCCATGTTTTACCGTTTTTCTTTCTTTCTTTTTTTTTTCGTTTTTGCATTCTTTGCGCTTCATGATCTACCACGTCGCGCTCGTTTCAACCGCACAATTCCCCTTCTACTCTCTCCTCAACTCGAAGAAACCTTTCGCACCATTTTTGCATATGATAGCAGCACTTTGTACTATCATACTTTTTTTTTGTCCTATTAATGGTGCCATTTATCTACCACTGTGACCGCCATTTTATATAGTGACCGTTGTTGCTTCACAGTTAGTCCCAGTACAAAAGCCATTCATGCCGTGCTCTGTATGGCCACAAGGGGATAGGGTTTTCACTTTCTTCTCGGCCACCTCGTGTTCTTCACGCCCCAGTACACGCTGCTCAGGAGAGTTTTGGGTAAGAGGACGGAATTCAGATTCGTAATTACACTGCAGTTTGCCCAAGCTGGACTTTGCCTTATGGATTCCGGAGATAAGGTATATGATGAGATGCACTTGACGCCGAGCAAGGTTTCTATATACTCGTCCCGAGATCAAAAAGTACAAACCGGGAAAGGGATAAGGAAGAAATCAAGTCAAGTACTGTTGATAAACCCCACCCGTCACAAAAACCGAAAGAGAAAAACAAGTATCAACCTAGAGGCAGAATACCCAGAACCTGACAACAAGTCCCACAATCAAATTCGTGGTGTTCGGGTAATACGGTACGTTGCCGTACCTTACACCATCGATACCATAATATAGTAACTTTACCGTAAATTACACTAAGGGGATAGATAAAACACCGGGAAGCGGAATCTTCCCACCCCAAACTTTGATCTCAGGTAAACACTCTATGAAGGGATAGTGCTATCCAAATGGAGCATACTCGTAGCTTAGAGAGGCCGAGTGTACTGGGCCTCATGAACAGGTGTGTTTGTTATTTTGTTAACTTAATCTGTCCAGCCAATCGTGGTTTGGACCGTGGTTCCTGTTTATATACCACTCTATAAATTTTACCAAAGCGGCTTTCATATTCGAGCTCAGTCATTTGGATGAGGAGAGTTGTCTCGGTGTCTTGTGGTTGTGTATGGGATTACGTCATGCATTTTTGGTAAAGGTGTGTGAATGCTAAGACCCAATCTTTTGGGTGGCGGTACCACAAGTTTACAGTACGTTACCCTACCGCGCCTCACTGTATCATACCATACAGAACGGTAACTCACCGCGCAATACCTTGTGAACCCTAAAAATTCAACGAGTGATGTCCTATGATTCTGAAGGGGAAAAAAAAAAAAAAGGTACCGGATGAGTCCCAAGCGGAATCTCACCACCCCGATGCCCGAGAAGCAGGCCATTATAAATCGTTCTCAAAATGCAAGCTTGGCGACCATGAGAAATGGATTGAGTGAGCTCAACGTCCTCCCTGAGCTTATACGGCTTCAGTTTATGGTTCTAGGTGCTCGGTGGCCCCGGGCCCGGGACAAATTAAACCTGGCGCTCGCGAGAGCTACTCCCCCTGACGTTATCTTCAGTGCTGGGCATCTCGGAGCGTTCGTCTCCGCCGCTGGCATTACCGGGGCTGGGGTTGCCATTGCGGGGTGAAAATTTAAGGTCATTCAAATATTAGGTACACCATTTTGTGCCTACGCTTATCTTCACTGGGGAGTACAGTACTGAGGCAGAGACTTATTCATCTCTTCCCTGGGCAGCGACGCGGGGAGCAGTAAGAAGCCTTCATCAATTTCAGCAATCCGGGGGGGTAGGCAGTTCGCTCCCGGCGAGCAGCAGCCCCAAACATCATACTTGCTCCTTAGTCCGCACAAGGCAATCGCTGCCCGAAATGTTCCGATAGAATGGAGCAAACACAAGAGCTCTCAGTTGGTGGGGCGGAACGAGGCTGGGGAGCACCTGATTTGTCCGATATCTGGGGACGAAGCCTTGTCTACCGGTAGTATGCTTGTGCTTCTAGTTGAGCGCGAGGCCCCACAGACGCCGACGGCACATTATTTTCTTCTTCTTTTCGATCAATTGCTAAACCAGAATGCCGTGCCGAGAAATTCGACTTGGAATAAAGTCGGAGCGAGAGAGAGGAGAAATAAGACTCAGTCCCGTGTGACTGTTGACTATTAATTCTCGCTTGTTGTGCTCGAGTCAGTTGGTGGGGCAGGGAATTAGCCGAAGCTGACCACCCTCCCCGCCAAAACACAGGCATACCCATTAATCGCTTTCCTCGAATACTCGAGTGCCGCGCAGGTAGGTGCTGTTTTATTTTCTTTCTCTTGTTAAGAAAATCTAAGGATCGATCTAGGCACAGGACCAGGACTTACCCGTCATAATCTACCGGTAAGTTGTGACGCAAAGTTTGAAAGCATGCGTATTCTAACCCTGTCCTACCCCCAAGATAGAGCCAATCGCCCATCCTCCTTCAAAGTATCGTATGAAATGCAGACCGAAAGAGAAAATACCACCACCACCGGTAGAGGCAAAAATGAAGGAAATAAAGACGAATAGTCCAAATAATCTCACGCATCAAGCCTCACCAGAGCAAGAGGGTTCACAATAAAACCTTAGTCTTGTTTTTAGGACAAGAAACCTGTTTTGCCTTTGGGGTGGCACACCCTGGGTGTGCTGGCTCGAGGAGGACAAATGCCTGTATGGTGCCAAGAAGTTTTGCAGAAGGCTTGGTCAACCAGTCGGGTAGGTAAGGAGGAGGTTGTGTCGACCCGAGGAAGTAGTGCTTTGCTTCCCATACTGTACTCGAGTAGCTATGTGCAAGTACCGTACTGTACTGTACGTGCAGATGCCAGCTATGCTATTTTCATCCCACAATGAGTCACTTTCCAAACGCCTATGAAGTTTCAGGAAGGGTTAGAGTGTTTGTCTATATACATTATTTCACAACCACAACAAGTCCATTAATCCAGTGCATTCAACGGCGGGTTTTGTCACTTCGTGGTGCTAGGCCTGGGAGGGGTATCGCGTCGAAAGCTTCTAGAATCCTGTCGGATGGATGAACAAGGCGTTATTGCATGAGGTTGTGTGGGATGGGAGGGTGTGAACTTTGCCGCTGAGATATCCGATTACCTTTTCTAGTAATAAAGTGTTGTGATAGCAGCGGTAAGGCAAGGCTCGTCTCCAATGTCTCATCAAGAGCGCCAACAATACCGTACCCGAGTACAGTACCGTACACCGCAGGTAACACCTGATTGACACGAATCACTGAGAATTTGCTTTTCTTCTCGCGATTCGGCGCCTGCGCCTGGATCTGCCAGAATTAATGCCGGGGGGTTTTCCCACCCCCTTGTTATCACCGGATTCAAGCGGTAATATATGTAAACGCCCTGTCCTCACCCCATTCCTACAACCAGCTTCGACACCATCATACTCTAGCTCCACCTTCCACCATTTCAATATCCAACCAAAAAGATAGAAAATGAACGGCACCACCTCCAACAAGTCAGTCCTTCCTGTTACTAAGTCTTCCTATAAGGGTGCCAAAGGCTCGTCATTGCTAAATTAACAGAACAGGATCTCCGGCGATCAATCCCTAACCCCGCCCGATTCTTCGGGCTCTGAATCGGAGGGCGCTGAGAAGGGTACCTCCCCAGTGCATAGAAAGCAACAACAAACAGGAAGGACTCGTGATTCGTCCACAGGTCGCCCCCAGCCTGAACACCCTACCTTCAAAATTAAAATCGATGGAGAGAGCGAGGGTTGCGGCGTCATAGTGAATTGTTGGAATAAAGATATTACTTACAACGCAGACACAGCGTCTCAGGCCGAACGCATCTCGAAAAGCGGCTCTTATTCCAACCCTCCGTTCACGGTAGATGCTACTGTTGGCAAGGGCAGTAAAAATTGCATCCAAATTGAGGGTTCCGGAACCACACGTACTACTACCAACCTAGGCTCAAAGGCTGGGGATCGGAATCAGAGAGAGAAGCAGAAAGGCTAGGCTCCAGCTTGGGCCCCGAATACTATCTGCTAACTTAGCGCCCATGCATAGGTGAGAAAAGAGCGGGGGTCTCACGATCCTGTATGGGGCGTGAAATGTTTTTTTGTGGACCAGGCTAATCAGAGACTAGATGCCACCTCCGGACAGTACATAAGTACCAGGTCAAATCGTTTCGTCCAGCGATGCAACCGCAACTCCACTACTACTATAAATTTACTACCTAGGCAACCACAACTACCCAGAATGAAGGGAAAATTTAGTTAGAGATTCAATAGATATAAGAAAATTCTCATACAAATTATAGAATAAAAAAATCAATACTTTGTGTACCATCTCTTTGCATCTAAAACAGCAGCTACTCTCCTAGACATAGACTCCCACAGCCTTTCCAAAAATCCCCCACTATATCATGAGTCCAAACCTCATTAAGAGCTTCTACTAAATGTCTTCTAACAGTTTCTAGACCACCCTTAGTCTTATGAATATCAGGAAAGCGCTGGTGTAGCTTTTCCTTTACCCTCTTCCAACAGTGCTCAATAGTATTGAGATCAGAGGAATTGGGTGGCCATTCCATAACCTGTATGTTATTTTCCTCAAACCAAGCCATAGTATCTTTTGCAGTATGTATCTTTGCACCATCCTGCTGAAATATAGGATCCCCAACTGTGTCCCCCACCTCCTACCAGGTATCAACTAAACCATCTTCCAAAACTCCAATATATACAAATCTGTTCACACTCTTCTCAAAAATAGGAATCAGAGGATCTTTATTTTTAGCCCAAATACAAGCCCATACCATCAGCTTTATCCCAGGACCTTTTGTAACTCTATGAATACAGTCCTTGTGCCACTTTTTCTCAGGTGTTCTGAATACCCAAATACCCTTAGGATTTTTGGACTTTTCAACCATGCATTCATCACTAAAGATGACACCCTCAAAGTCCTCCTTTGTCCAATCCTTATACTCCATACCCCAAGCTAATCTCTTGACAGCATGCTCATCTTCCAGAAGAGCTCTCTTCCTTGCTCTCTACTTCTTTATATTGACTGATGCCAAAGCTCTCTTGACAGTACTCAGAGAGGCATATGGTGCAACATCATTGCGCAATTCTGACAGGATTTGGCAGCGTGCCTCCTTGGACTCTCTGGCTAGGCAGCAGTAGGTTCTACTATCGATAATTTTGTGTCTTCCTGGTATTGGAAGGTTTTTCTCATCACCCCTCTTTTGATAGTGCTTATGAAAACTGAGAACTGTACTGTACTCTTTGAACGGTTTAAGAGCCCTCTAATTTCAGCAAAAGAGAATTACTTTTTTCTCAGAGCAACAATTTACCCTTTCTCAAAGTCTGAGAGATGGCCGGTCTTTTCAGAAGGCATTGTTGTTGAGGGGTGGTTGATCAGTGGGATGGGGTTTTTTGAGGTGTTGTTCGGTTACCACCAATCGGATGAAACGATTTGACTTAGTACTGTACAATACCGTAGACTCTCTTTAAACCCCCCCCCCCTAGTGGCCCAACAACAAAACATTGCTCAACAAGTCATGAAAGTACAGTACTAAGCTATGCATACAAGTGCAGGTAGTGGTAAAAGCAAACCGGTGATCCTGTGAGTGAGTAGTCCCTGGCCTACTTGTAGGTGAGCAATACTATCGGAAAGAAGTTAAATTGCCAAGCGCGACCGGTTTTCTCCTTCACCCATTGCGATCATGAGATATCGCTAAAGTTTCCTAATCCGTGCTGGTTTCCGCTTAGATGTCCTACGCGTTTCGGAAGCGCACCCGACTTATGATGATCCCGAGCACTGGTGCTGTACCGTGCACTGCTGGTTATACGAGGATGAGGGGTCAGCCACCCGGCCTTAGTATTTTTTTTTCGCTGTGTAACCACTACTCCCTTGTTACACTTAGGGAGCATGGCTACAAGATTATGCCCTGACAAAGGCATAAAAGTATCGTGGACTTTGGCATTTCGGCCGTCAGTTCCAAGTCCGATTTCATGGCCAAGCCTTGCCACCAACTTATGCTAACACCGCCTAGGTCTGTTTGTGTAAACTCTCTAATCTGCTTCCACTTCCTTCTGCATTCTTCATTGCGCGGTCGGTCGGGGCGGTGGATAGGGTACTATAACGCACAGTTCGATCCAGTATACTTGTGCTGTGCGAGTAGTCCCCCAGCTCAACCCGACTCCAGTATGGGTACAGTACCATAAGTTACTGTATGATAAGTTATCTCACCCTACAATATATGATCACAGGCACGAGGGAGAAGGTAGAGGAAAGAAAAAATAAAATAATTAATACAATGTAATCCAAACCCCCCTTTATCGCAATTGACTCTTGCCTCCGTCACTATCGTACCTCACACTGGGAGAGAAGAGACAATAAAAAAAGGTTAAGGCTGGGGGGGGGGGGTGGAGAAGAAAGGAAGTTAACAAGGGGAAAGAAAGAATCAGTTTCTACGCTTTTCGTTTTGATGATTTTTTGCGGTTTACGAAACTCATTTCCTTCAATGACTTCTTGCACAGCTTGGCTGACTCTGGGTCACTGGATAGGCGGGCACGAATGGGGCATGTAAGAAGTTATTATAAAGCTCTGTTAGTCAGCAAGCACTAGCTAGCGCAAATGAACAAGAGGCATCTCCTGAACCACTCAGGCCGCCTCTCCCTCCCACTGCTGCTGCAAGAAAAATTCTAATTTGCCATTTATCAGCTCCCAGATCCTCCAAAATCTTGCCATAATCGCCCTGCAATTTTCCATAATCTTGACAAATTCTTAGCACTAATAACTAGCTGGTGCTTACTAGACTCCCTACTTGGGTTGTTTCGACAAAGATGTCTTCCAACCGGAAAACATGAGATTCCAGGGAGATGTCAACCTATAAAGCTAGCCAACTTCAAAATGGTGTTGGTGAAGCCATACCCATGGAGGGCCAACTACGGGAGGAGCTATGATATTATAGATTTTTCTGCATGGAACCCAAACTCATCTACGAGTAGTTTGCTGGGATCTGTGATTGGACCCCTACGGAGTTGGGGGGATGGCAGTGTGGTTCAGATTATTGGGTGGATGTGTGGGGAGTGGGGTAGTCGCCCGCGCCGGGGCTCTTATTATTGGCCCTGTGTGGGGCTCGCTTGTTGATCGGAGGGATGGCTGTGACCCCAAGCGGTCAATCCGACCCATGGCCCAGCTTTCAGGTCGTCAGTCTGGCTTAAATTACTTCCGGCCGCCAAAGCCTGTGGGGGCCCAGTAAACCGCTGGGTCGATGGATTAGGAAGCCCAGGCAAGTCCGCCAGATGCTTAGGAAAAGCCGACAGACATCCAATGAAACACAAGTTACTATACTGTACCACTCGAAACCTCGGTCAGTCTGACCGTACCCGAAGCCGGCCGGGTTCACTATATACGATACTTTAACTCTATGCTATTGCTACCGTTAGAGGGGCTTCCCCCCAAAAATAATTGAAGTCCGTGAGGCAAAGACACTTGGCCACACACCCATCAGGGAGCCAGTGATTCTGCAGGTTTCATCAGTCCATTGGAGAGATTATGGCGAGAATACCCAAGCGTGGTATCCTATATAGTACTATTTGGACTATAGGGATATGATATCACCCCCAAGCTCTCTTCTCTAATTTCCCGGTACCTTCCGTGCAATTCTAAATCATTCTCAAGTACAGTACACAATAGAAAGCTAGCGAACGGTTAGTTTAGGTTGACTTGCATTAACTGTTCACTAACTTCTTAGCGGGAACCTACACAGTATAATACCGAACGGACGAACCCGATCTGGGAAAGAGAATACAAACGATAGCAAGCTTCACTCATTCGCGGGAAAGATGGGCAATCGACACCTTCGCACAAACAAAGCAGAGGGCCGCCGGACTTGTGATCGCACTTATCCGATCAAACATGTTCGCACAAGCACAAGAAGGCTATAATAAAGAAAGAAAGAGAAAAAAGAGACCAATTAACATCGCGGCCATGTTCCCAAAAGCGCCCATCATCACCGTAAAGGCAGCTCGATCCTTTGGCTGCTTTCCACGTTCGATGTCCCCGCCCGATCGTCATATGATGATAGGTAAAGGAGGCAGGGGCGAGAGGCCCACCACAGACCTCCCCAGGACGGCGGTCCCCGCAAACAGTCGCTCTACTAACCCCATATATAGAAACCTAGCTAAAACTAACTAAGCCCAAAACACACAATTGAGAGCATTGCGGGGAAAACTGCCACTTTGACGTCCTCATGATATTATGATACTCATTTTTCCCAAATCTAGCCATCAGAGGTCATCCATGGTTTTGAAAACCTACTGTAAGAATTGGAATAACTAAGAGCGAGTGAGCCCCCGTATGTACCATACGGCCTAGAAACTGTGTGAGGTCTCAAATCTATGGCGGGCGAGGAACACCACATGTAGCATCAGCAGATGTGCTCCCTCAAAGTTTACCGGTAGAATGGCTCCTTGTGCTCCGAAAGTCACCTCCATGCACTCTCTCTCCAGCTGTTTCTGCAAGGAACCGTGTAACACCACCACAGTACTCGTACCTATCGGAGGCGACAGAATAACAAGGGCATTTCAGATAACCGCTTTCGGATACGCCTCGAGGGACATTGTAAACTTTTATCGCAATTTGCTTTATCACGCTGGACAGTGGAAAGAGAGGGCTACGGAGTTTCCAAGGGCTAGTATTAATAGTATCATATTATTTGGAAGGGTATGGGAATTTTGTGGACGCAGTTGCGGAAACCGACAGAGACTAGTGACGCTAGGACGTCCAGAATTTCCCTCTTTGGATTAAGGGGAAGAAAAAAACCACAGCCCCCCAGTCGAGACAAATAAAAAATTGACCTTACTAAGAGAGGCAACTCCAACGTCCTAGCAGTATCCCTCTCCCCAATTTAAAGGATTCCGGGCCTTCGGGTCAGGCATCTCACACTAAACTCCTCTTATCTAGGAATAGAAGCAAAAAATTCCAAACTTTGTATGTTTGTACAGTACAAACCAAAGAGACTATTTAAAAAAAAATTTGTACTATCTTGGTGAGAATGGTTGAGTATTGATATGTTTTCTCACCCCCATTTTCGGCGCATTATCAGGGTGCACAGTTATTCATCTCTTAGCCAGCATTGAGCGATAATACATGGCCGTCAGTGGAAACCCCTCCCCCCCTCCTTCCTTTCCCCCGTCACCGCGAACAGACTCGCGCCCACCGCATACACGTAGCCTACCAACGGACCCTCCCACCACAAAACACCACGACACCTTACCGTCCACACAACACCCCCCCCCCCAACAGGGCAATCGCGAAATCGCGAGGACGGACAAGAAAACCAAACCGCCAGTACAGAAGCGAACATACTTTACCGAATTCATTCCCAGAAAGAAACCTTGCGGCCAGAAAACCCAGCTTCAAAAGCTACAATTCGTGCGGGGTTTTCTACAAGAGTACATTACTAACTTCCCAGCAACAAGAGGTGCGAATGGGGGCCCGATGAGAAGAAGTGCTTCATGGCAACTTTTGTTTTCTAACCTGTTTTCGTTCAAGGTTCTTTGATGAAATATAGGTTTGTGTAGGATACTGTTTCGTTGGGCTCAGTCCTCGAATTAACCAATTGCCGTGAGAGCTCATGTATCTGACTCAGATTATGTGGGAGACTCCACTATAAGTTTAGGTTTAGGATCTTATCGTTCCGCCCAGACTTTTGTCGTTCGTCTTTGGGTAACTATTCATTGTTCTTCAGAGTGCGAATTGAATCATGAGGGAGTAGTATAACAAAAAAATTATGAAAAAAAAAGAATACACCCAAAGCTAACTACCGGTATCATACTCTAGTGCATACAATACCACTAGACCTATCATAAGTGTTCAAGTTGCGCTGCAAAGCCAAGCTTTCCCTCATCACCACAATAAAAAAACTTAATTGCTTATCTGATCAATCTCCCACCTTATCTCGCCTTTTACCCCTCTGACTTCTACTTCGGCGACGTCGCCCTCCTCTTCCTACCCCGTAGCTAGCTGTTTAATCCCGGAACGAGGCGAGAACCCCTCTCCCAGTGTTTTCCTTATAATCTCAGATCCGATTCCAGGATTCGATGAGCTCGTGAAGCTAGATGCAGCGTTAAGACGTAAACCCAAATCCCGACTAATTCCCCCGCCTTCGGTACAGTACCCGATCAGTTATGTCGACAACAGGGTTGAAACTAGGCTCCCTTGCAATTCGCACGCTAGCGAAGCCCATAGCAGTAGGTACCCCTATCTATCTATATCCATCATCTCAACCTTTTCACCCGTTTTATTTCAAAAGGAAGCAAGAGATGAATTAACACTATCCCTCCCAGAGTCGAATAAGAGCTCAAGCCCGCGACCACCCCCGCTTCAGGCGTCTATGCATAAACATAGCGCAGCAAATCCACCGCGTAGACATGCGTCTCCGCCTCGGTATCCTGCGGGACTCGGCCGCCATCGAGAAAGCCGACCAGGCTGAACGCGAATGGTATAAGAAGGAAGCCGCCAAGCGATCGAAGGAGCGAGAGGCAAAACGCCCCACCGCTACATCAAATATACCCCCGAACCTCCCGCTGCCCCCACGCTCGGTTGTGCATCATGTCACGGGCGGTGAGGCTGCTGCGGCGAGGGCGGGGAAGGAATTATCCAAGAAGCCGCCCAGGATTAGACCGCTCAGTGAGAATAAAGCGATTGAGAACGGCGCAAATTTCATCAGCGAGTTTTTCTTATTTAGCGTTGCTGGAGGTTTGATTCTCCTCGAGCAGATTCGGTCCAGGAGGAAGGAGGCGAGCCGGAGGGATATGGTTGCTGATCGGCTAGAGGGGCTCGAGGAGAGGAATTTAGTAGACGAGGAAAGGTTTAAGAGGCTCGAGGAACAGACAAGAGAGAGCGAAGATAGGGTATTGAAGCTCGAGGAGGAGAATTGGAAGTTGAAGGGCGGAAAGGGGAAGTTTCCTGGGAGAAAAATCAGTGAAGATAAAAGGGTTGCGGAAGAGAAAATGTTGGCTGAAAGGCCTATCCCCGTCAAGTTTGTCAAAGAGAAGGGATTCTGGTCCTGGATTTGGGGGCTCGGAAAAGAAAAGGTGGAGGAGGATATCAGAGAACCCCCGGGCAGTACCTTGGAAGCAACCGCGAGGCAGGCCCCCGCGAAAGACGACAGAGATGAAAAGCCCGGAGTGCTCTTTCTCTCCCAAATAATCTCAACAAACCCAACCAAAAAATAGAACAAGCGAAAAGCATAAATCCCCCCTCCGTTCCAACATACGTTAACTCTACTCGCTATAATTTTCCTATTTATTTATCAGATACATCAAATTCTGTACATAAAGGAAGAGGGAAGCCATATAGGGTACTTTTCTCATGTGCGAACTCGCCTCGACCACGAAACACTATGCAGTAGGTAATGGTTCCGAAGATTCTCAAAAGAACAGCCCCGCAAGAGGTACTTGTACAGTATGATACTGTAAGTGGGAAAGGTAGTTCGGGGTAGGGCTAGAACCCTAACAAGAAGAGTCGATTAATTCAGCGAAGGAGAAAGACGTGCCAGCTTAGGGGGGCTTCGTGCTTGCGAGGGAGGGGAAAAAGAGAAGCCCACGCGGCTGTAATTGTGCTTGTAGAGGGAAGGCTGCAGTGGCGATAACAGCAATGGCTAACAGCAGGCCCCTGTTCCTAACCTATCTCATCCCATAAAGCCAAAGCACAACTTAGGCCGGTACCGGTAACGACGAGAATAGTTCTGGCACACTTCTCTGCCACAAAGCATCATTATCTATCACTCGTACATCAGCTTATTGCGAAGGAAGATCTTTTAATACGGGAGGTTATCATATTATGATATTTGAATCTCCCAATCCACAAATTTATTTAGAATCTAAGCCCATCTACTACGGTTTTATTACCTTCCCCACCGCTCCGTAAAAATAAACACCAGGACACCCTTGAACGTCTCAGGATGAGCACAGCCTGAAACCCTTTTTTCAGGGACAGAGCAAAATACAATTCCCAATTTAGCACCCAGAAGAAAGTAGACGAACATAGTGAATTGAGACAGCAACAGAACAAAAATGCAAGTTTGTAGAAGGAGGAAAAGAAAATACCCCCTCTCGAAATATTCAAGGCCGTATGAACTCATCACAAGCTCACAACATGAATTCCCACACTTAAATGACACCCGCCACATCCCCTCATATCCCTCCCTCTCCTATTCCCTGAGACGATAGGCCACAGGTTGTGGATCATATTGCCTATACCCATTAGTCACCATTCGGCTGGGCTCTCGAACGACGACTTTCGAGCTGCAACAAATAGAAATCAGGGATAGCGAGATACTTACATTGGGGTTCTTCCCACTACGCTTACTTGCTTCAAACTTCTTAACCATTTCGTCCACCATTGCATCGTATTCCATCTGCTTAGAGTTTTTGGGCCTCTTTCTTCTACGGATCACCCCGGATTCCGTGACAGAGGCAGAGCCCTCCCTGACATGCTCCGGTTGAGCCAGAGCTTCTTCGTCAAAAAATTTGCGCTTTTCAGGGGAGTGGAAAACAGGATTGACGTTTGTGGGCGAAGCAGGCTTTCGAGTCTGCCCTTGTGAAGTTTGCGTGGCAAGATGGTCTCCACTAGCATCCGGAATGCCTGTCTGACCTTGAAACCTCAGCAAGAATGCTTCTGATCGTTTCTCAGTATCAGCTTTTTCGTCCTCGGATAAAGCTGAGTTCCCGACTCTCAACTCCTTCAGCTTTTCAGACTCCAGCGGGAGGTTCCCGATAGCGCCACCACCCGCAGTGCCTACCGAACCTATAGCAACACTTCTAGTTTGGCGTCTCCCACCCCGACGCCTCGAATATTCTTCGGTGTGTTCAGCGACTTCCTGCAAATGGTCCACCATAGCTTCTTCGATTTCTTTCTCTGCCTTCATTCTTGCTAGTCTTCGGGTCTGTTTTCTTCCAAGTGCTTCTCTCTCCATCTCTCTCTCTCCCTCATCGATCTCCTGGAAATAATCTAGTATGTTCGTCTCAGCCGCATCTTCCCAATGCTGAGCAGCCAGCCCCCGAGTTTCTCTTATCCCCTTGGCTTTTCGAAAGTGCTCCCGGGCCCTTTCCTCGAGGGCCTGAAGATGGTCTAAGGCAGCATTATCTACCGCTTCATCGAACATAATCCTGTTCCGATCCCTCTCTTGCCTTTTGCCCTTTCTCTTCCGGTTCTGCTCTTGCAATCTCTCGGCAACGCGTTGCAGATGATCAAATGCAATTTCATCCACCATATCTTCATCTCGTTCCCTCCCGAGAGCATGGGTTATTTTTTTCCCCAGTGTTTTCCTAAGATCTTGTCTCTCCCCCTCTGCAATATTTTGCTCATAATCTAGAGCTAAATCCTCAATTATGTCTTCAAAGTGAAGTCTGCTATTCTCCTTCCTCGCCTTTAATTCTCTCTTCCTTTCTTGCTCCTTTTCTTCAAGGTCAAAAATAGTGTCAAATATGAGCGAGTCTATAGCATTCTGAAGCTCTTCGTCCTGCTTCCTTTTTTCCTTCTCGAGATCCTTAAGACCAACCTCATGTTTCCAACAATCGAGCCTCGCCTTCTCCTCCTCAGGTGCGAGTGGTTTTGCCTTATCTCTTTTCCGCTCGGCTTGATCCCTCACACCCTGTTTCGGATCTGGTCTAGCCTCGGCCTTATCTTCTAGCTCCTCGAACCGTTCTTGTCCAAAGATATTCCGATCTGCAGCTTCATAGGCCCTGAAAAACTCGAGGTCTCTACCAGCAGCCTCATCACGAAGTTTCTGTTTAAGCCCAAATTTTCCTTTATTAAAACGCTTCCTCATGGAGTGTTCATCCTTTCCAGACTTCTGAACGAGTTTAACCTCTGTTGGGTCTATGTCGAAGTCTTCGTCGAGTTCCTCCCCAGCCAAAGTGCTTCCGGCAGCACCATCAAGATTTGGTTTTGCTCCGCCCTTGGTGCAAGCTTGAGAGCTATGATCATCAGAGGAAAACTCAAAGCGCGGACAAGCACAGCCTGTTTCTATGCAGTGCAAGATAGACTCAAGAGGATCGCGTGAGTCTATCTCTGCAAATACATCGGGTTGTTGCCTCATTATATAGCGGGAAGATGAAGGAGGGCTTGGTAGGTAGGTACAGTTAAATGGGCGGTGAGATGCAAGATGGTGGTCACCGTGCCTAGCGCTGGAAGAGAAATGGACTTTACAGGTATGACAGTTATAACGGTAAACTATCTTGTCGGGGCGCATTTTAGGGGTCCCCCAAGCAGGGGGTCGAGTCGACATGATTGGATACACAATGGCAATTATCGATCAAACAATAAATGCTGGTGAGGAGAGGAAAGTATCGTGTATGAGTATAGAAAAAAGTGATGGAGGTAATTCTAGCGGATTCCCAGGGAAGCGTAGACAGGAGGGGGGGGGGAAGCAAAGGTAAAGATAAAGGTGGAGGTAAATGTGAAGATGGAGGTAAAAGTGAAGGTGAGGGCGAGGGTGAGGGTGAGGGTGAGGGTGAGGGTGAAGGCGAGGGTGAAGGTGTTGTTTGCTTGAAAGTTATCGGACGTGCTAGCAGAGATGGGCCGCGTAATATGAGTTTAATATCATAGTTGGTTAGTTGCCCATAATTTACGCGACAGCCCCCAGGAAAAAACCAAGACTCAAAGAGCGAGCAGTTATATCAGTGAGAAAAATGGGGTTCGGTAGGTCAGGATAAACCGACCAATCATACTCCTATTTCCACAAACTCTCCTCCCCATCCGTTCTGGGTGCCTAGGATCTATCATGACTTTTATTCTCGAGGTCACTACACTATGATTAAAGGGCAGGAAGTTATCCAGTTTACCAAAGTCACCCACAGCCTTCCCCCCCAGATTTCTTGTCTTGCGCTGTAAGCAGTTGGTTGGTTCTCCACCTGCGAGGAATATTCTAATCACACATTGTCACTCGCTGATGAATTGGGACCGAATGATGAGTCTAAACAGTTCGGGGTACTGTACAATATAATGCAAATACAATGCAATACCAGATAGTGCTGTGAAGCAACCCAAATTTATCTTAGTAGAGGCTGGGAGCTAAGCCACGGCTGTAATAGTTATTAAAAATCGCTTAAAGAAAATTTAGGAATGTAAAATCAAAGCATAGGAACTGAGGGCAAAGGGCCTAGGGAATGGAACATTAGGAGAACGTTGAGCCTAACACTGATCTACTCACCGATCACACGGAGCTCAGTCTTATTGGACCCTACAGTGCCAATTTGCGCACAGCATTGGCTGGCGACCACACAACTAGGTGACTTATAACACTAGTCAGACACTGAGTCAAGGCCAAACCCTCATTTCTAAATATTCTACCATAGGTATTGGCCTTACTATAATGTATGATATAGAGAAACACAGAACGAGTGGGATGCTGGCCTCCTCCGTCGCACCAGGTTTTTTTTTTTTTTTCCTCCGGTTGCACACGCAGAACAGTAACAGTGCTAACTCGTGGCAATAGGTAACTTGAGATGAGCAGCCAATTTTGCTTATGGCCCACAGGTATGAATACTTTACTCTACCACGAATGCGATAAGCCATTGTTCTTACCTCGACCATGATTATCTGGAAATGCCGGGCAACCTTGGCCACCTGAGGAAAGATGGTGACCCCAAAGGGGAACTACAAGCCTGAAAGCCATGCTCCTGCTTCCACATTAACCCAATGGGACTCTTGATGGCACGATAACCCCAGTAGTGGAACACTATAACACAAGAAGCGCTGCGGGAGCAACAATATGGGGGAGCACAGAAAGGTGAATGTGTGCGGGTGAGAACTAGGGCATGGACGGATGTATAGAGTTAAGTTTGTGGAAGTTTTCTCTTATGATACTCAAAGAGCTGTTGGCTAGCAACCCTAAATAGAGCACACACCTCTGCACCTCTGACAGTCATCATAACTGACTCTTGCACTAAGCGATTCTTTCACCTCCATCAACTATAAAGACCGAAAACTACATCCCCCTAGAGCCCCTCCGATCTAGCACAGCCAAGCGAAGATGCTAATCAGCCTTATCCAACACACCAAGTGCGAGGAAGCGTAGCATGATCCGTCCAACCCAAAGGCCGGTCGAAATAACGGTATTGTGGGAACAGAAACGCAGCTACGTTTGTTTTTTTGCACAATACCCTCAATTGTGTGTCCTGGGTTTAGTTAGTTTCGAGCCTGTTTGGCATGTCACTGTAAAAAATACTCAGTATTTGCTGAAAATGCAGTATTCTTTAGAATAAGAATACTAAGTATGATATTTATAGAAATACTGGTGTTTGGCATGTCCATAAAAAAAAATCAACCTAACAGTAGACTGCTTTTTTAGTGTATAATAGTTAAAAATAAACTGAAGGATGGCAGGATTTACTTTACAGAGGCTAAAGTGACTAAGAACCATCCATTTCGAATAGATTTGCTTCAGCCTCTTATTACTGACTGGAATTTGGGTTGTATGATAGGTCATGATTTTTATCAAAATGGTATAAAAAAAAATTTATCATGAAACAATATTATGAATTTTTAACTATATTGACATAAATAAAGAAAAACAAAATGATAGCAAAAATTTACTCTACTCTAATACCTAATATCTTAGAATAATCTACATTTGGTTGTAATAAAATAATTCTTATACTTTAAAACAAACAAGTCTACAAAAAATATCACAGTAAAAAAAATATAGTAGAAAAAATTCTAAGGTATAAAAATACCATGGTATTTGTGTACAGTACCTGCCAAACACAGTGCTGTATATTTTTACATTCACTTCCAGAAATACTGAGTAAAAGTGAAAAATACTGAGTATTTCCAACGTGCCAAACAGGGCCTTAGTTAGGTTTCCATAAGGTTAGTAGAGGTGGCTCATCTGCCGAGTGTTTGTGGGGGCAACCGTCCTATAATTATATAATGGGTGCTTTCAACTCCCCTTCATTTCCCTTGTTGACCGTACTACTCTTATCATACGGCGGGAACGGGGATGGACACTTCCAGGAACGGGACCGCGGTGTTAGTTGATTGCTTTCTCCCTTCCTTCTTATTTTGCTCTTCATTGCTTGCGCCCGTGCGAGCCCGCTTGATTGAATACATGCGATCACGAACCTTGCAACCCCACTGCTTTGGTTTGTGCGAAGGCGTCGATTGACTGCCTTCTTGCGAGCGAGGAAAGCCTGCCCAGCAGTTGTGTTCCCTTGCCCGGCCTGGGTTCGCCCTCTCGGAGCCATCAGTCAAGATAAGTACAGTACAGTAACTTGCTTAATCACTACCGGTTAGGTTACTATCACACTCGAATACTCTATCAATGACCGACTTAGCGCCAAGATACTTTGTGGTTGTTTTGTTGCCCTAGCAACGGGATGTTGTGGCAAAAAGCAACAGTCGGGCGGTCCAAATTCATCTCCACATCACCTTCGCTTCTTGACCCCTAACACTTTCAACCGCAATCAACCAGATCCTGTCCTAGATCACTTTTTGTTTCGGATTCTGTCCGAAATTGATTCTAGAGTTGGTGGGTAACTTCCTATCTCTTCTACCGTCCTCTTGTTTTGTTTCTCTACTCTCTCGTGCTTCGTCGACATCCGAAGCCACAAGTACACCTAAGCACTTGTGAACCCAAATGGCCGCTTTACAAAAATCGGCACTATCTTCAATGGACCCAAACCTCCCTACCCGTCCTCTGGCCAGGAAACGATCGGCGAGAGCCACCAATCCATCTCCTCTACGAAAGCAGTCCGACTACCAACTTGTTGCCCCCCTGAAAACTGCACCGACTGTTGCTTCGAGGCCCCCACCAGCTCCCTCCAGTACTGCAAACCAGAAACAATTGGGTGATCCGAAAACCCCCAGAGTTGCAGTGAAAGACCGAAAGAAAAAGCTATTGTGTGCCACCCCACCACAGGTTCTGCAGGATACAAGAGGACGGGCGGAGTATGATCGTGGAAGACAGCTTGGTGAAGGTGGATTCGCAAGGTGTTTTCTGGTCCAGAATAAAGAAGGTGAACTATTCGCGGCAAAAACTGTCGCGAAGAAAAGTCTGCAAAACCAGAGAATGAAGGCCAAGGTCCATTCATATTTCCCTCATCAGAAAATGTTTATTAACGATTCATAGTTTTTCGGGGAGATTCAAGTTCATAAGACAATGATCCACCCAAATGTCGTCAAGTTTGTCGAGTGTTTCGAAGATAGTGACAACATCTACATGATTTTGGAACTGTGCCCAAATAAGTCATTAATGGATATGTTGCGAGCCCGTAAGCGATTTACCGAACCTGAAACAAGATTCTTCTTATTGCAACTCTTAGGTGCATTGAAATATATGCATGGAAAGAAAGTTATCCATCGCGATCTTAAACTCGGGAATATATTTTTGGACGCAGACATGAACGTCAAAATTGGTGACTTTGGGCTTGCAGCTTTGCTTATCAACGAAAACGATCGCAAGAGGACAATATGCGGGACACCAAATTACATTGCTCCAGAGGTTTTGTTTGGTAGTGGAAAGGAAGGGCAAGGACATAGCTTCGAGGTTGACCTCTGGGGAGTTGGTGTTATTATGTAGGTTTCCTGCAAGAAGGGATCTCCAAACATTACTAACTATGCTCAGGTATGCTATGCTCGTCGGGAAGCCTCCTTTCCAAGCTGGTGATGTAAATGTTATCTATCAGTACGTGCCCGACCTGGGCCAGAATAAAATGGAAGCCGTATCACTAACAACAAGTAGAAAAATTCGCCATAATACCTTCAGTTGGCCTGAGGAGGTGCCCGTTAGTTCAGCAGCAAAGCACCTAGTTCACTCAATTCTCAATCATGACCCCGATGCTAGGCCTACACTGGACGATATTGCCGACCATTATTTCTTCAAGTCTGGTTTTTTTCCGAGATCGATTCCAGTCGGCGCTGGCAAGCAACCACCAGTCTGGAGAGGCACTAGTGGAAAAAGCGTAGGAGCTGTTAGCACAAACAGGCAGGATTGGATAAAGAACTACGAAGAGGTTGCTCGCGAATGCGGTATTGGCGTCCGTTCAGATGGAAGGCCGGTTAGCGCTGTTGGAGATCATGCAGGCGAGAGTATGGAGCTTCTAAGTCTTCTACCTTCCAGGCCGTCATCAGTGTTGTCTGCTGGTGATGAAAACCAGCAGTTTGCGGCCGAAAAGCAAACAGTGAAAATAAAGCTCGAAGATGAGGTGAGGATGCAGAAGGAAGAAGATGCTTATATTCTACCAGAAACTTTAAGTCCGCGAGATAGCCATGCTAGAATGCGGGGCGCCAATACACTAAAGGGAAAGGCATCCAAATTGTGGGGTCCGACAAGAGGGACTGGACTTATCAGTGCTGGGCTAATGCCAGCGAGACATGCACCGGGACTACTTGCTTCACAAGTAACTAAGGTCACTGAAGCGGAAGAAGAATCCGATGATGGCTTCGAAGACCAGGAAGAGGAGAAACCGATAGCAAAGCCAGCCGCTCAACGTCTAAAAGCACAACCTATACGAAGAAGCACTGTTGTTACTTCCCCAGCTGCCAGGAAGAGCATGTTTCCTCTCCGCAGCCAAGCTGTGAAATCACATGCTGCGGAGTTGAGAACTGCGGGTCAACTGGAAGCCAATGAGCAATTTGTAAAGGCACCATCTACTGTAATGGCACTCAAACCTCAGGGAAGGCTGCAGAGTCGGCCATCACGGCCAATTTCTTCTTCATCAGCTAAGTCCCAATACGAACTTCCGCCATCGTCGCAGGAGTCTTTAATTTCAACGCGGTCCTCATCGCAACAGTCCTCGCAGCCTTCCTCGCAGTCTTCTTCGCAACCTTCTGAAGGCCCGATCATTCCGTTTGGCCCTAACCTGAGTTCCAAGATTGGTGTCCCTATTCGTTCAACCGCCACATCTACAGTACTCTCATCATTAAGATCCTTCATTAACAGCCTTGAGGCATTTGCCAGCTCGAGACTTCATACTCTATCTCCGATACCAGCCGCTACCATCGCAGCAGTGAAGTCTTCTCGCAGAGGTGAATCCAATAAGCATGTTTTTATCACAAAATGGGTAGATTACACCAATAAGTATGGGGTGGCATACATTCTCACAGACGGTACCTGCACAGCAATGTTCAATGATAACACCTCGTTTGTAGTAGATAGCATCAGTGGTGAAAGGGTCGAGTTCATTACTCAGTCATACATCAGTGATTCTTCGCAGGACACTGTATATCGAAGGCTTCAGACAAAGATGGAGGTCCTCAACGAGAAGAAGAGGACCAGCAAAGGACTTGCCAGGAAGATGCAGATGTGGAAGAGATTCAAAAACTACATGAAGTCGGATTTAGAGACTGTCGAGCAATGGTGTGTGGAAAGAGACTCTGTAATCAGGGAGCCAACAGTTGGCGGTGGTGACGATCCTGGAATGCTATTCGTTACCCATTATACAAGGCTGAAGAGATGTGCGCTCTTCCGCTTCTCTGATGGATCCTTCCAGGTTTGTTGCTCCAATAGTTAATATTTATATCTTGCTAACTTTCTGACACCTAGTTAAACTTTATCGATCATACGAAGCTCATCGTCTCCTCTGGTGGTCGAACAATCCGCATGATTACCAAAGCACACGAGCTCAATGTTATGTCCCTCGAAGATACCCACAAGGAAGTCTTCATCTCAAAGAACAAGGCGCTATTAGATTTCGGTATTAGAGAAAAACTAAATTACCTAACCGATATACTAAAGCTCTGGGCAGCTGATGGAAAGTTCCCAAGAAGCTACGACGTTAAGGAGGAGACCGGGATCACGGTTCTAGGGGAGTAAATTAGATTTATGTTTTTCCTTTTCTGCTCTCTCTACTTTCGCTATTTCTTTGTTCATCCACTTGGCGTTTGTTCACAGTATGGGTATATTTCTTGTTTTGTCTCTCTCCTCGGACGATTAATGTTTCCGTCTTTTTGTCGTATGGGAACACTTGGGAACGCTCGGGGATGTACTATTATCATGACTGTCGAGTTTTGTTTCTTTCCTTCTCGAAACTTCGTTTGTAAAGCATATTGATAAATTGAGCGTGCACACACCATTCCACCATGATGAGGCAAGCCGATGAGGTGGGAGATATGCAAGTCAGGACATGTCTATTCCTTACCTGTCCGAAAAGGCCCTCTATCGTGCCATGACAAGGTACAAGCATGGATCCTGCTATGTTGCGTGCGGATAAGATTCCGGCAATCAATTTACAATGGTATTTGGAGTGAGCAGGAGGGCTACTTTTCTGTAAATTATATGCCCTTAGTATGATGCCAAGATATAAAACATTTGGACCTCTCCTACCCCCGACATTACCAAAAATATACTACCATAAAGCCCAAACAACTAAGGCCCCTATCTCCATGTATGTTCTGAGGGTTTCTCTAATTTTCCTGTAGTTCTGCAGGTCTTTTGGGCAAGGAGAAAGAAAGGGTACCGTACTTCCAGAGTGATCACGACAGGTATCACGGGTAAGTGAACATTTGATACTGTTATCATAGTTCAATTAGGCCCTGTTCGGCATGTGCCAGCATAAATATATTGCGATATTTCATAAAAATGGTATCTACCCTAAATAAAATGCTATTTTTCTAGAAATATCATACAGTATTTGTGTTTGGCAGTGCCATATTTTTTCCATTATTGTCTCACCCACATGCATGTTTATCGTGTTAAAAAGGGCACAAACAAAGGGCCAGGGCTCAAGCCAACAGAACACATATGATATAACAGTATGATAATATCATAATCATCATATTATCATATCATAATAATACGGTATTATCATATCATACTGAGAATTTCTTTTGCTAACCCTATACCTAAAATGACTTTCAAAAAATATCGCAATTTAAAACAATATCACAATATCTGTAACAATGTCGTGACGGCCATGCTCCCATATATCATAGGGGGTCAATGTCGCCCCCTGCTCTTAGGTCTTGGGGAATATGCGCTGGGTTTAGTCGAGCAGATACCAGAGATCCCGAAGGTATCACCTTAAGGTAGAGGAGTTCGAGTGATTGTGCATGAAGCGAAAATCGCTGTGTTACCAACCCACCGGGAGTGAGTGTGACATGTGGATAGCAAGGATATGCCTAATGTTCGTTAAAAACAGAAAAAAGGTCTACGGCGCCCCATGAGTTAGATGTTGGGAATTACCCCTAGATACCGTCCTGCCCGAATACAGTATAATATCATACTATGGTTAAAGTTGGAACAAATTGGGATTGTTGAAATACCAGCTGTTGATACCGAAGCACGGTGACTTCCAGCGGTGTATCGTTGGGGGACTGAGCTCGATTACAGTATGCATAATTTAGCAGGAGTAATAGTCGGCGAACCGTTCGGAATAAGAGGGGCCCGATGAGCGTTGATTGGGCGGTTGGCTAGGATAATTCTATTGTTCGGCTCCTCGCAGGGCAATTTGTGCGGCTTGAATATACCTGGCTTGGCGCGCTAACCGTGTTCGGTTCGCGGACTTTTCACGCATTCATTTGGCGCAAAAACAGATTGAGCCCTAGAGAAGAGAGGGAAGAGGTGGCCCGTCTACTTTCCCACCCCCCAACACCCTGTCCTCACCTTCCCATCATCATCCCACCTCCCACCAAACCTTTAAAACACTCAACATCCTTCCTCTCCCCCAAACCATTCTTAGTGAGCGACTCGCTACTTCTTCCTAAGTCGAATCAGTATCGCGCTTTTCCTAGGTTTGCAGTGTTTGCTAGGGAGATTCCCCCGGGAACGCGAAAGGGATCCCCGTCTGTTCACCCATCTCTTGTCCATTTTTCTGTTCAAGAGGTGCGCTCCTTTTGCGCGGTCTATCTGGCCCCGCCAAACTTGTTTGTATCATTCAAGATACCCTCCCCGTTTCCTAGCTAACTTCCCGCGAAGACAAAGTTTCACCGCGGTCAAGTACAGTAATTATCACAGGGTTTCCCTATCATGCCCGGAAAAGACAGTTGGAACCCATCCCATCCCCCAGATCAACAGAAACAATCACCAAGCAACGGTCCTCAGGGACCTCCTCCGTTGCAGCAGCATAGGTCGTTACCGCCATATCAGTGAGTTCCTCCTTAGCCCGATACAGATGAAGACATTTTCCCGGCAAGAGCCGCTGACGTGCACAAACTGCAGGAACGGTCCAGGACAGCAGGCCCAGGGCGGTCCAGTCCTACCTCCGCCGCCTCTAAACCCGTCTGGATGTAAGTTGATGAAAATTGGAAACAATAAATTTCGACCCGCGTGATCAAGAATTTCAGTTCTGATTTCTATGCATTAGCTGCCTTTTACCACCCACCCTCTCAACCACTCCCTCTCCCCACACTCTCTGCTTCGCACCCGTCATATCCCTTGCCTGGAATGCAGCCAGCTCCCGGCGCATCCCCACACGGCCCCTCCCCTCCTGTTCCCGGAAGCAGCGCTAGCCCCCCACAACAACGTGATGCTCCTCAAGGTCCTCCACCCGGTCCTACTCAACCGGCCCAACAAGGTATGGCCCAATCTCAACGACCAGGTTTACAGGGTGCAGGCCCTCAACAGCCCTCAAATATTATGCAAACTTCTCCGGCTACTGGCCAAACCCAGATGCCACTTTTAACTACACAGGGACCCCATCCATCCCAGCAACAGCCCCAGCAGCAGCAACAGCAAGGGCCTATGGGGACCGTCCACCACCCAATGTCTAGTTTGACTGTCGGGCACCCCCAGCAAGCCGATTCCCGGCCCCCCCAGCACCAACCAGGCACCAACTCTGTAAGTCAAGCCCAGAGCCAAGCTCAACAGGCCGCGGCCTCGATGCCCCCATCCGCAGCCGGACCCGGCAGTGGGCCTGGGGGCCCCATTTTAAATGTAGGAGGCCCCCTACCAACCGCTCCTCCTTCCCGCCCCCTTCCCTTTGATATCTTGCCTTCCACTGCGGAGCGAGATTTCGACAGTCGCAGAGCCTCTTCTTCTTTGGGTTTTCAGGGTGCTCATGGTCATTTGAATGTAAAGGATGCCTTATCCTACTTGGATCAAGTAAAGTTTCAGTTCCAAGATCAACCAGATGTGTACAACAAGTTTCTGGATATCATGAAGGACTTTAAGAGTCAAACGTAAGTTTTAACCCCTTTATTTGCGAAAGTGAGGACCGAAACTAAACTTAAATATCTTGCATGGGCTCTAGAATCGACACACCCGGGGTTATTGACAGAGTTTCGACACTCTTCAGCGGTCATCCGAGCCTGATCCAGGGATTTAATACCTTCCTTCCCCCCGGATACAGGATCGAATGCTCTCAGGATCCACGAGATACTAAAATCACCGTCACGACTCCCTCGGGAATTCACCACGCTGCTTCGGGTGGCGAGGTCTCAATTGGAGGTGATAGGAGTGGGATGCAGTTGAATACTGCTCCATTGGCTGCTGTAAGTAGTGCCAACGGTCCTGGACAAGGTCAGCACTCAATATTCTATGGGCAACAGGTTAGTAGATGGGACACACCATATGCGCATGGGTTGTACGGCCCCCAGGGCGGGGTGGGTGGAGCGCAGCAGTCCCAACCCCAACAGCCGTCAGAGCCTCTGTCTGCCCGTCAGTTGCACCAACAACAGCAGCTCGTGCAAGCCCAAGTGGCGCAGCAACAAGCCCAACATCAGGCCAGTGTACAGCAGGGTGTAAGCCAGTTGCAATCCGCTGCAGCTCATACCAATGGCTCCGGTGTGAAAGGGCCCGTTGGGCTCGTGGTTGGAGGTCCTGGAACCCCTACAGCTGGAGTTAATGACCCTAAGTCTGGAAAGGGTCCAGTAGAATTTAACCACGCAATTAGCTATGTGAATAAGATAAAGGTATGTGGAGATGGCCAATCAAATCAATCTTGTATATCAATTTTGCTCACTGTTTGCTTCCAGAATCGATTCGCGCAACAACCAGATATATATAAGAACTTTTTAGAAATTCTTCAGACCTATCAACGGGAATCAAAACCCATCCAAGATGTTTATTCTCAAGTTACTCAATTGTTCCACTCGGCGCCGGACCTCTTAGAAGACTTTAAACAGTTTCTCCCCGAATCCGCTGCTCAGGCTCGTGCGGCAGCGGCGGCGAAAGCTGCTGCTGATGAGGCAGCCGGTCATACTGGGCATTTAGGCCCGAATGGGCCTCCTGGGCCTGGGGGGGCGCCTAGTGCATCAAGGCTACCTCCGGTGGGAAATTTTCCGCCTCCTCCTAGCGTTGGAAAGGAGAACAAGAAGAAGCGTGGTGCCCAAGGACTTAGCACTGTCCAGGAACCTAAGGCCGAGAATAACAGTGTGAACGGCACCTCAAACGCATCAAGAGGTAACAAGGTATGTGATACTGATACGGTCATTCTATGGTAATTTCGGGATTTGGCAAGGATTAACATCATTTGGCAGAGACATAAGGTCGGCCACCCTGCCAAACCTTCTGTTGCTGAACAACTGGTTGCCGTCTCGCCTACGTTAATACCTTTCCACCCCGAACCTCTTGGACCGCAACCACAGCCCATGGCGACCACTGAGGAGCTTGCGTTCTTTGATCGCGTTAAGAAGTTCATTGGAAACAAACAAACGTACAACGAATTTCTCAAGCTCCTGAATCTTTTTTCCCATGACCTAATTGCGAAAGATATGCTTGTCGATAAGGTATCTAACTTCATCAGTGGCAACAAGGAGCTGATGGACTGGTTCAAGAGATTTGTTGGCTACGATGGGAAAGCGGATGACTTAATCGACAACGCTCCCAGCACAGTCAATAAGGTTAGGTTGAATCTTTGTCGTGGGCTTGGCCCTAGTTATAGATTGCTGCCGAAACTGGTAAGTGTTTTACACTCCCGACAAAAACAAAATTTATCTAGCTAAATACATTTCAACCTCTAGGAAGCTCAAAAACCTTGCAGTGGTAGGGACGAGATGTGTTGGGAAGTCCTTAATGATCAATGGGCTTCTCACCCGACATGGGCTTCGGAGGATTCCGGGTTTGTTGCGCATAAGAAGAATCAGTACGAGGACATTCTTCACAGAATTGAGGAGGAGCGCCACGACTATGATTTCAATATCGAAGCCAATTCGAGGACTATACAGCTTCTTGAACCGATTGCCCAGCGAATAGCAAATATGACGCCAGAGGAGAAGGCGAATTTCCGCCTAACCCCCGGTCTGGGCGGACAAAGTAAAACAATATATCAGCGTATCATCAAAAAGGTCTACGATAAGGAAAAGGGGCTGGAGGTGATCGAAATGCTTCACAACAATCCGGTCGTAACTGTACCGATTGTATTGAAACGCCTCAAGTCAAAAGAAGAGGAGTGGAAGGCTGCCCAGAGGGAGTGGCAAAGGGTATGGCGTGATCAAACGGCCAAGGTGTTTTGGAAGAGTTTGGACCACCAGGGCATCACGGTTAAGGCGAATGATAAGAAAGCTTTCAGTACGAAAGCGTTGGTGAATGATATTCAGGCGAAGTACAAGTCACAGGATGTCAGACGCCAGAGCTCTACAACACCTATAGCCGAACATCAATTCACATACATGTTCGGAGACTTTGGCATCATCCTTGATGCTAGCCGTCTCTTAGCTGTTTCTTTGGAGCATAGCAACACCTTTAGCGCCAACGACCGCGAGAAGATTGACTATTTCATCAAGTCTTTTATCCCGCTGTTTTTCGGTATGAACTCAAGGGATGTTGAGGACACTGTCAACAGCATCGCACGTAAGTCACCCGACGATGATGGTGACGAAGGGTCGCCCGCGGCCGGAGAGGGTTCAACTCGAGCGGCGCGCCGCGGCAGACAGGACGACTTGCTCAAAGACGTTCTCAAGCGCGGCACTGGCAAGAATGGAAAGAGCTCCAGGAAAGATAAGGAAGGGAGTGTCGCCTCTCGCGGAAGCAAGGAGTCCACTCCGGAGGTGAACCAGAATGATAGCGACATTGAGATGGCACTTGATGGACCTTCGGATCGACCGATCAAAGAAGAACAGCATTGGATATCGAGGCCTACAAAGCACCTCCCAGATATGAAACCTGGCACTCCAGTATCCCATGCTGATGAAACATCACTTCCCGTCAAGAGAACCCTGTTCACCCTATATGCGAATACAACCATCTATTGTTTCTTCCGCACATTCCAAATACTTTGCAAACGTCTGTCGGACATTAAGGCCTGTGAAGAGGAAATTCGCAACGATGTTGCCATTCGAAGACAGCAGAAGGCAGCTCACGACCTGCACTTGCTGGGTTCCAGTAGTGTTCCTGGCTCCTCCAAAATGGAAGAGCTTTTCAGTGATACAAGCCCGAACGCGAATTACTACTCACAAGTCCTTGATCACTGCGAGAAGTTTATCGAAGCCGAACTCGACTCAAATACGTTTGAGGAAGGGCTTAGATCTGTCTATGTACAGAAGGGGTGGCAACTCTACACCATTGACAAGCTGTTGTTAGCCATTTTGAGGTTTATCCAGGTTATCGTGCCAAACGACACCAAAGAGAAGAGCTCTGACAAGGGCGGAAATGCCGATATCATCAGACTGTTCAAGTGTGATAGAGAGCGCAGAGAATTCACCAAAGAACGTGGTGAATACCAGGAGCTGATTAGTTATCGGAGAAGTATCGAGAAGATGCTCGCGCCTGAAGATAGTGTTTATCGAATCGACTGGGTAAGGAAAAATATATGTATTCCACCCGGCCGATTTTGTTGCTAATAATTGAACAGAACGAGGAAAACAAGGAAGCGGCCATCCGATATGTTCCAAGAAACGAAATGACGATTGCTAACGAACTCGATAAAGACGAGCGCTGGAATTACTACATCCAGACATATATGATGTGCGCACCGACAGAGGGCATTCCGTTGGGAAGATGTGACAAAGTGTTCTTAGCAAGAAATAGGCCTTCGGAGGACGACCTCCCGGAAGACGGCTCCCCTCGCGAGATGATTGGCAGCTCGGCAGCAGATGGCTTCTGCAACGAAGAGAACATGGAGATACGAATATGCGTGAACACATACCGCTTGTTCTTCGCGCAGAATACCGAAGACTTTATGGTGCAGAGGAGGTCCCAGCGGCTTGCTGGGGAGAGCAAGATGCAGGCTGTTTCGGGGAAACGGATTAATAAGTGGCACGACTTCCTGAGCAATGCTCCATGGATGCAGGGCATGTCCCAGGAGGAGGTCGAGAGGAAGAAGGCGGAATGGGAAGTTGCTAAGAAGAATGGACAGCCCACGGATGTCGTTATGGGAGGTGCTTGACCTGACGGTCTACCAGAAATCACATTAGCGGTGGTTGATCAGACTTGCCTGTTATATTATCTTTCTCTTTCTTCTCACTATTTTTTTGTTCGCTACTCCTATCACAGCGGCCGAAAAAATCGGGTTTCATGGGCGGCAGTGGCGATAGCGGCGCGGTACTTGGGTATAGCGGGGGAGGTTTTTATTTTCCGGGATCCTAACTTTTTCTACCGGTTTATCATGCTTTTTCTACTTGCTTTTTTATTCTCGTGAGTTGCTGCTTTGCTTTTTCTACCAAATGTTTCACTTCTCTCTTTTTCTTTTCTTTTCTCCCCCATGTGTCAACTTTGTCTTCTCTCATGACGGCTACTGCTGTTCGTTTTTGCTTGTCAGCCTTGGAACGTCAGTCGCTCTACCGCATCGCTCCACTGGTCTGCGGCGGGCACATGACTCGTCAACCCAGCCCAGTCTAGCCACCTTCCGAAGACCCAACGAAAACGGCAAAAAAAATAAAAAAAAATAAACCCCCTCCCTTTCTCTTCCTCCTCTCTTCCCAGAAAATAAGGCGTTGTGTTTTTGCTCAAGTTTGTCCCTACATTATCTTTTCCCTTCCTTCCTTTATTATTATTTTTCCCTCTCGCTTTTGTTTCGAATTCTGCTATTTTTTGTTTTTCCTCTACGGTACCGGTATTTGTACTTGCCGGCACTCTGAGCTCGAGCTCTATTGTCGAAGCTTTCTCCCTTTTTCTTTCACCTGTATATTAGAATTATTGTAGTATTCTCTTTCAAAAAAAAAAAATCGTGCTAGCTTGATTGATGTGATGCGTTTCATGTCCGGATATGGTACTTATATTCAAAGGAAGACCACTGGGGGGAACCTCGAATGGAGGGTCTAGATGCTCATCCGCAGCACCATATATAGACAGACAATCCGATATCTTCGGAACGGAGGCAGTGTTTATCAAAGAATTAGAGACTATTGATATGGTAAGGTAGGTGCACTGTAGTTACTGATACCATGCTACGCGCAGTATTGTTTGCACTCGTACAGTATGTATGTATGCAAGTGCCAGGGGAGATGTTTTTGAGCAAGACAGGGGTTATTTTGCTGGCCGCTGGCTTTATGCCTAGTACTTTACCGTACTTGTGCTCGAGTATACGTAGGATAGTATGTATGTGTGTAGTTGACTCGAGCTGGTATGAACACCAAGCTCCACCTACCTATCTACCTGTCTACCCATCTGTGAATAAATGAATGAGCACGCCATTCGAAATTACTACCTGTAGCCTACCATATTCTGTCGTACGGTGGGGTACGCTAGTCATAGATACTCGTATTGTATTGTGCGGGCAAGCGTAGCTCATGATACGAGTACCGGTACTGGTTGAAGGAAGGAAGGTAGAAAAACGCATTCCAATACGCATCGAAGTATAGACCGCCGTACTTCTCGGTCCGCAGGAGGAACTTGCTCACCGCGGCTCGACAACTCTTCCTACATTACCCACCTCCTCAAGGAGCTTACGGTGTTATTGTTCCTTTCAAAGATTTTCAGTGCCGGAATTATTTTCCCTATCCACAAATCTTGCTTCGAGTAGCTAGACTATGCAGTGCGGGTAGTATAGGGGAACCCCTATTATCAGCGGTGTCGTCGAGAGTGTTTGGGGTTGACGAACCCGGGGGGGATGTAGGTCATGGTGCCAGTCTAGCAGCTACATAGTAAAGTCAATCTCACAACTACCGGCATTGTTAGTCAGACTTTAGATATGGTGATAAACCTAACCTTAACTTCATCCTCCTCCCCCTCCCAACACCAGCCCTCACTCTCTCGTATCATATCATACCTATGATACCAGTACCGGTACTCGAGTAACTTACATTATTTCCCCGCGACAACTTGAATCCCACACCTGGATAACAGAACACGGTACCGCAATCTATTTTTAACCCGTATACACACATACATCACACACCGGTACAGTACTCGTACATACTCGTACATACATGCATACATATACATGCTGGAGTTAGGGACGGAAGAATAACTTGATAAAAAAGTGTGGGAAATTTTGTTTGTAATAGTGCAAATAACTTAATTAATACCCGATACCATACCGATATCGGATTGCGTTTATAGCATTACAACCACGGTATGCATAATGAATATTGTGCGGAGCTTACCTTACCTTTCTATTCTTCACACATGTTTTTCTTCCCAAATCACCTCTCTCTCTCCCCCCCCATTCCTCTTTCTCCCCAATCATGGCAGTGGGGTACCACGATCCACACAGGTACAAGGAAGAGCCAGCGAGCAAGGTGGGGGAGAGAGAACAAGACAAGACGGACGTGAACAAAAGTGGACCCGGAAAGGAGTGGGGAGGGGGGGTGAAAGGTGGAGGCACAAAATGCATGATGAACTGGATGGATGGACAGATGGAAACACCACCCCCCCATCTCACTCACTTCACCCACCCAATGAATCCGCGATGAACAACAATTGTTTCCCTACAAAAATTATTCAGTACTCGAGTACCGCTACCCACGTGAGAAGGGTTCTCTCCCACTCGGTCAACAGGACCGGCCAAGCCAAACACTTTCCCCACAGCGATGATAAGGTTAGCAGGTGTAGGAATATCATGCTCGAGCATCATACAACAGCTCCAACAACCGCGATCCCAGAGCCTCCTTCCACCCCACCACACACCCTCATCTACCGGTACTCGAGTACAGCAATCTGGGCACTCACCATGCACGACGTGTCCATACCATAACATGCCATACTATCATACAGCGTTATGATAAACAACCTTCCACCGGCGACCCACCTAGAATACCGGTACTAATCTGCACCTCGGCCAATTCAAAAAACACCATTGTTATTGTTATTGTTATTACCATTATTATTACTGTTACCGTCTATTTTTTCATAGTTGTGTTTTTTTTGTAACGGGTTTTTGTTATATATATACTCGATTCCCTGGTGCATGCCTGCCGTATTTGTATCTCCGGGAGAGAGTGGGGGGCGCCCAATATGGAAATTATGATAGGATTGACTAGTTATTCTATAATCGAGTACCGTATTATGTTTGATAATAATTATTATTGTGGTATCATACTTGGTTGTAAATATCGTCCCCGAACCCAGTTGCGAACATCGTGCCTATTGCCGCAGTTCACACAGCTATTGCTCGGTTTGCTTACCACAATAATTATGGGGAAAAATAATAATAATTTGCTACTCTCCTCTCTGCAGGAATTATGAAACAACTCCCACCACTTTCCCCCCTCCGCCCCCTCCGCCCCCTCACACTCACTCACACTCACCCTTTCCACTCCTCCATCCGACCCTCCACAACTTGCTATCCAACCATCCAATCCTATCCAACTGAACCCAACGGCAAGAGGGCGACCCTAACACAACCCTAAAAAAGAAAATAACAGAGAAAGGAAAGTGGAAGAAAAGGGGGAAGGTCAATAGGAAAAAGAAAGAAAGAGAGAAAGAAAAGGGTCACATAGAGAGGGACACTGGGAGAAAGTGCAGAGAAAGGGAAAGGAGGGAAAAAAAAAGGGAAAAAAAAGCAAAATTTCCAACTATCGCATGTCTCTCACTAATCCGTCAAATCTCGATAAATTTGAAAATAGTAACGGCTGCAAACACGATAGCCAAGGATCCGCCGTCCGTCGTTGCGGCGGAAGAAGGAGTCCACAGGGACAGGTTCAGGAAAGTCGATTCGAAGGGGAAGTGATTGGCTCTACCGACGGCTATCCTGCGAGTAGGAACGCTGCCAGTAGCCTTCCCCACACCGCAGGCCCCGACTTGACCAATTCCTCACCCTCGTCCTCGTTAGCTCCCTCGCCCATTCGGCCAGTTGCGCATGTTCTCGACCACTCTTCCACCCTCATTCCTTCTCCAAAAGCGGACGCTACCATAACTTCCGATCCACAAATGTCCTCGTCGGATTTTGACGGCAGGTCCCAAGAGGGGTGTGGCGGGGGTGGGAGTGGTATCGCCGGCGGTCGGGATCGGTTGGCTCCCTCGCTCGCCAGCCAAAGGTCTCAGCGGCCCCTGGGAGGGTCCAGCGCTCCCTCCTCCACTAATCCCCCGCTACCCCCGTTCCATATGGATTACTGCAGTACTCGTAGTCAATCATATGCAGCCTCAAGCCACAACTGCGATCCCAATTCCCATCAAGACCATCACCAGCATCAACATCAGAATCAGCAGCGGCAACAGCAGCAACAGCAACAAATTGACCTGTCAACTGGGCGAGCCCTTTCTGAAACGGAAGTTCTGCCGGCCGCTTCTCCACGGGACGCTCCAGCTTCTAGCGATGATCACCACCACCACCATCGCCGCCATTGCAGTGGTGTCTCTGCGCAACAGCAGGGTATTGCATCCACTGCCGTGGCTGACCAAGATTACCTTCCCCTCCAGTCAATACCGAGTAGCTGGAACAAGAGTAGCCCATCCCCTGCCCCATCTTTCGGATATTCTTTCAGCAGTACCTCCAGTTCCAACTTTTCTTCTGAAACCGAATTCGGCGGCGCCCCAATTACTCCCGAGGACCTGGACGCCTTAACTGGTGGGAACAAACACCCGTCTTCTCCCCCCGAACACAACCAGAGCCCCCCGGACCAGGAGGATTGCGAGGAAGATTCTGACGGAGGCGTTGACGTGGATCTATTCGACTGCGATATGGAGTCCATTGAGGTTACCCGTTCGCCACTACCCTTGCCGCCAACGCTACATGTTCCGAATCCTATTGATGAAGACGAGGAGGACTTCTCGCCGAGCAACCTCGTTACCAGACCTCCATCTCCTGTTGGCGGAGGAGCCGCTTTCCTAGATTTCTTTTCTTCTTCTCCCTCGTCAACCGATCCATCCACCCATGAGGGCCCTTCGGATAATGGATCTGAAAACGCCAATGACGATGAAGCCCCGGACGACGACCCCGTCTTTCTAATGCAGCTGGACCCTCCGCTGGAGGAATTTGGCTCTGTGCAAGATCATTCGTCGCCGCCTGCCGCTATCTACTCTGACAGTTACGTACACTCCGGGGCTTTTGGCGTTCATGGGTCTATGATGGATCCGCTGTCCGAGATTCTGGTTACGAGGAGCTTCGAAGGACAGCAGGAGGGGTCCACAATGGAAGATGAAGCTTTGGAGTCGGAAGCTAGCCAAACTCCGGGCTGGAACGAGAGTATGCCATCTCAGTCTCCCCAGACTCCTCCAACAGCAGCAACGGCTGTACCTCCTTCGCCATTCGCCACTCATGTGACGGTGTCAAGAGAGTTTCCAGCGGCTGCTGGTGTTGGAGAAGTCTCCCCCGCATTACATTCACCACCTCCATCCCCTCGCCCCCCTATAGCTCATGATGGCTTTAACCCCTTCACAAACTACACACCCACACCTCCCCCCCTTTCCCCTTCACTCACCCCCTTTGCCATTGAATTCCCGCTCCATTTCTCCGCAACGTACCTGTCCCTTCCACCCGTCGTTCTGGACGGCGGGATATTCGCTGAAGATGAAGAAATTGAGGGCGTAACTGATCACACGTTTGAACAAAACCTGCCCCTTGAAGACATTGAAAACTACAACTACGATTTTGCAAAGTTTTGTCTTCACGCCTACTACCGGTATAGAATGAACCCGGCACGCTATCAGAAATTATCGGTAGCAGCCGCAGACGTCAAGAAACTGCCACGACCGAGAGAGATTACAAGACGGGATGTTGAGAGAGATGGTTGCGATATTCAGGCGATTCCTTGGCAGAAACTAGGGATCACGGTTGATGTTGCCAGGGGTGTTCGACGGAAGGAATATATCAACTATAGGAACGAGAAAGATGTTGAGCCAGAGCAACCGGTAAGTCGTTTGTCCTCTCTGCTCTCTTTCTCCCTTTCCTTTCCTTTCCTAGGCACTGCTTTTTTTCTTCTTCTTGATTTTACCGGGGGGGGGAGCTTCACTTGGCAAATGAGTTGCTTCCGGCAGACATCGGATGTAATGTTTCGGCTTGCAGATCTACGGATACTTTAATCGAACATCCTACTTCTGCATATAGCCCCCACAAGCCTGTCCCACATTGCATTCTGCCCTTATTTTTTTTTTTTGGGGGGGGGGTTTCATTCACGATACCGGTATGCTGATCGGGATTAATAGCCTAGTATACCGGCAAATCGCCAATTTTATAAATTTCGAAGGATGGACATGGAGCAGAAGCCCCGCCTGATACACTTCCAGCTGCGCAATCTACTAGGAGTGGTGTCCAGAAGCGATGTTTTCTACGCTGGTAATGCGAAGGTTCTCCGGACAAATCCGCTAACAGGATCGACGGTGACTACTATGGATCTATCGTACCCGGACTCCTGGAGCGGGAATCAAATCCGAATATCAACATTGAGTGCCTGTGCCGGTCAGTCTGGTGTAGTGATCGCAGGCTGCTTTCATGGGGAATATGCTATGAAACCGCTCTTTGCCCAGGCATCCGCGAAACCCATCACGGGGATTGTGACGAAGAATGAGAGTGGCATAACAAACCACGTTCAGATTGTCCGAAACAGACACAACAACACACCAAATGCCGTCTTCTCATCAAACGATTGCCACGTGCGTGTCCTTGACTGTGAGACTCTAGCTTTCAACACTCAACACGAATATGACTGGCCGGTGAACTGCAGCGTTACGAGCCCAGACTCGCGCTTGCGCGTCGTGGTAGGGGATCATACAGACGTGCTTATCTGCGACGCCGAGCGCGGGAGCACACAGTTTGTCCTCCCAGGACACAGAGACTACGGTTTCGCTGCGGCCTGGAGCGACGACGGGCACACTATTGCCACTGGGAACCAGGACGAAACGGTACGTATCTGGGATTCCAGAAAACTTAATGAGACTTTGAAGGTGCTCCCTGCGAAAATGGCCGGCGTGAGAGCCCTGCGCTTCTCCCCGCTCGGATACGGTGGCAAGAGAGTCCTTGCAATGGCTGAACCCGCCGACATTGTGCAGATCGTGGACGCAACGTCCTGGGACTCTATGCAACAATTGGAATTCTGGGGCGAGGTTGGAGGAATCGAGTTTGCGCCTACCGGGGAAGAATTTTTTATTGCTAACGCGGATAAGTCCGTTGGGGGCCTTATGGAGTTTGAGAGGTGTAAGGGGCGCGCTTACTATCAGGAGTACCCGGAAGGCAATAGTGGTAGGGAAGTGCTTTGCTGGGAGGATGCTATGGATGAGGAGGGGGATATGAATGGGCCCGGGAGGAGAGGCAGAGGGAGGTATTATGCTTCAAGGAAGTATCGGAGGTTGGGGTATGGGATGGGGGAGGGGGTGTTTGTTTGAGTTGATGCTCTTTCGATTTCTTCCATTTTTCCTACCCATCCATTGAGCCCTTTTTTCATTCTAGCGGTTCGTTACGAGTAACATAATATCTGACGGATGGAAAGCGGAGGAGGAGCACAGTAGCTGTTGCTTCATTCTCTCTATATCTCTGTCTGATTGTCTGTTCGTGTGCTTACCTTCCTCTTCCTTGCCTTACTTTTCCAAACACATACAGCCCCATTCCACTCACCTTGCCCCATTCTACACAGGCGCAATATGTAATAACCACCACCTCCCCCTCCTTCCTTTCCTTTCCCTTCCTTTCTTCTTTTTGCCTTCACCATCACCATCACCACCATCACCATCATCAATCAACACTAGGGGGCTATCTGATTTTATCATCATAACGTTTGTCGCGAGTCATGATTGTCTTTTTTCTTCTTTCATTACCCTTTTTTCTTGGCTTTTGTCCTCTCGTCTGTCCTGTCTACTTGTGCACGCTACGTTGCGCTACTCGTCATTGCGTGGGAAGTTGGCTTTTTGCTTGTCCTATTTTGGATTTTGGATTTTTTTTTTCGGAGGGTCGGCGTATTTGTTGCTAGGGTGGGTATGTCGGTATTATGTGAGGTACGGGAATGAACAAGATGATGAAGAGTTGCCAAGTGGGAAAGGGGGATAATGTGTTCTTTAAGGCTTGTCAGATGCTAGTGCTCGAGTGGTTTTCCTAGGGAAGGAGTGGTTGAGAGAGAAAGAAAGAAAGAAAGAAAGAAGAGATTGAATGTTAAGCTAGGTTGAGCACACATGATATTTATCATACCTGCTCCGACGCCAATTCCTTGCCCTAGATCCGCCAGACCTGCGGGAGAGAGGAGGGGGGGGGGATTCTGGCATGTGCGCTCACAGGATATAGATCCAGTTTACCGCGTCGTGCCCATTCAATTCGATCCCTCAATCGGTGTGCAGCTAGACTATCATTCTCATGAGCTACGGTACGACAATCCGCACCGGGCCATAGCGGCATTCGCCTCGCCCCGGCATCGTAGTGTGTAGTAGTCTACCTCTTGGGCAATTCAGCCCAGTGAGCTACATCAAACCTGATGCCTGAATTCAATTAAAAGGTGTGAAACGTAGATACCGAAGTTTACCCCGTGAAATCTCGTGAAATCTTGTGAAATCTTGTGAAATCTTACCTATAACCCACCTTCCCCACCAATAATAACTTTAGGGCACGTATTGCCACCATTGGTTTTTTCAATGTCAAAACGTGAGTCCCAACAAGGAACTACAGTACAACAATTGCAAGTTGGCGGTTTGGGCCAAGAGCGAAGTGGTGGTGGTGCGGTCTGTTTGGTCGCGGGTACAGTACAGCAAAATGGTGGGAATTGATGTTTCGATTTTAGGATACAGTACTGTACTTGTAGCAGGGGGGCACTTGCTTGAGGCGATCTTTTTTTATAGCAGACTACACTATATAGGCAACCCCCACACAACGGTCTTTAGACTTCCAAGCTAGCCTCGTTCACGGGTCCACTGGAGCACGGGGAGGAGGGAGAGAGAGCTGGGTTAAGGGATTTCCATCACTTACAGTACAGGGTGTGTGCAGAAGGGAATATCGGTCAGGACAATAATATTGTACACACTGTAAGTTACGTTACAAGTGCGAGTACGAGTACTGTATGACACATTGGAAAAGGGCTCGGTTTTTTCTTTTAAGCTCGTCATTGCAAAAAAATACCCGGCGTGCCCTTGATAATATAGTAGTAGATTCCGCGTACCGTATCATACAAAAATAAATGGGCAATCGCACCCATAATATACTATACCGTAGGCAGTCACCGCAGTTTTTTTGGAACCTGAATTCTAGAAATATTGGCATATAGACGAGATTTAATTTAATTTGCGAATTCTTCATCGAATATGATACTTGCCAAGAAATTTTTTTCTTCTTTTTTTCTCCTTTCCAGATTTGGTGAGTTGTTGGGTGGTTGGTGGTGGTGGGTGATTCGATGATGAAATGAAATGTTGTATAAATTCGTGCAGTAACTAATTGTCCGTCGGGGTGGTGGTGTTTGCTGTTTATATATTATTATACTGTATATATATTCGGGGGATATCGCAAAATGTTGCATGCATTATAATTATATAAAGCACGGTTGGGAAGTTTTTCTCACTCAACCTGGAAGAACCGGCGCTGGAAATTGGTCCATGCTGGGTAAGTTATGTTTGAGATATCAGTAACTGGACCAAAAACCACATATATATATCATAGCATTTCTCAGGCTTCGATATCAAGCCCTCATATAATATCCTAGATTTTATTATAGGCCCCAGCACGCACACACAAGTTTCCCATCTCAACGGTCGCGGCGACCGGCCTTTCCCAGACATTATACATTCACTCACTCACTCACTCACTCACTCGATGAAATTTCGAAGTCGACCCCTTATAACATCTCTCGTATCGCCGTCAGAACGGAACGATAACGTAACGCCATGAGCTGATATATACAAATTTCTTAGTCCAGCGCAGCCATCATTCCAGACAAGCCGGGACGCTGTAAGAGTGAGAAGTTGTGATGGGTATGCTGCGCAGTTCATCGCTAATACCCCTTCCCGCCGGGACACAGGTTAAGCGTGAGATGTTCGAACTCACTCCTCGCCGGGTCCCCGTGGGAAGCGGGGGTGGGGGGGTTAAGTGCGCTTATAAGATCACCCTATCGCTCGCTCATGCACAGGTTTAGTTTTTTTCCTTCTTTTTCTGATAGTGTAGACAGACTACCGTAGCCGTGATTATGGTATACCAACCCTACAACCCACCGCTCTTTTACCATCGGAATGTCATAATATTATCATAACTATCATACTCCGTTGGTTGTACACGCCGACGGGGGTCTATCGCCTTCACTATAACCGCACAGTACAGTACACCCAAACCTCCGGTCTCTCATTTTGATATGTCCGTCCCCTTGCAGTCGGAACCTATTGTCCATAGTACCATACGGTTTTCTGCATACATAATATTTACCGGGACTCGGTGTATCGTATTGGTTTGGTCGATATCTGCTTGGATAACTTTGTAGGTGGTACGTGCCAGCGGTATAACTATAGTAACTCTACTGGTGGGGTAGCGGAAGGGGTGTAGGTGGGAGTTTTGGTACTCGTAGATTGTATCTTGTGTTTATCATACTCTGGGGTATGTTTCTACGCGTGGTACCTACTACATACACGAGTGATACTCCGGGAGGTGGAAAGTCGGCTCGACGAACCATCCATCACCATCACCCGCCAACACAACGGAACAATACCACCAGCGTGTATCATACATCAACAGTATCACATACATGTAAATTCCTTAGCCCATCCTCTATCCCCCCAAAGCCTACACAACCAACCCAGACATAAGGCACGCATATAAAAACTAACAGAACCACAAGCCAAACCCATCCAAACCCCCCCCACCCCACTAACCAACCAACCAGCAGGTCAACACCGACGCAACCTAAACCAAATCATCCTCTTCCCCCTCTAAGTCCAAGCACCCAAAGCAGAAGCCACGCCCACAGCATTTATGCGCCTTCCCTGCTGTTCCCCCTTCCGCACTCTCCCTGTCAACAATAATCCCTTTCTCCCGGCGCAGGCCACCCCTTTCAATAGGACTACTTCCACCATTACTGAGTTCGTCACCGCCCCCCCCGCTGCCAAACTTCAAAAAGCTCCTCCCGGATAACTTTTGTCGTTTCCTAGCATCGGTGGTCCAGCCAATGGTAGCGCTGGCGGCTGATGAGCTACGCTTTCGTTTCGGTGGTGCCGGTGTCAAGAATGGCTGTGGCCTCGCCACCGTGGCAGTAGGGATAGACCGGGTAGTGGTAGTGTTGGTTGTAGTGGCAGGGGTGGTAGATGCCGAGCGCCCTTTCTTCTTGGCTTGGTGTTTGGTAGTGGTGGCGGCAGATGTGGGCTTGGGTTTAGGTGGGAGGGGGAGGGTGGGAGGTAGGCGCATCGCTGAGCTGTGGAATTTGGCGGGCGTGCCGTCAGGATGCACGTCGTTCCAGATCGGAGAGTAGAAGGGATCCGAAGCAGGGGGTGGGGGGGCCCACGGATTTGTATTTGAGATTGGAGTTCCCTGCGCGAGGGGGGTTTTAACGATAGCAGGTACTGATGGGGTGGAAACTTTTGCTTTCTCTTTTGCTTTTTGCTTGGGTGTTTTTGTGGTAGTGGTGGTGGCGGGCGCCGGGGTACTGGTGGTGATGATATCTGGTGATTCTTGCCTTTTAACTTCTGGTTGTTGTTGCTGCTGATTTCCTGTCGGTCTTGGAGTGCCCGCGATACTGGTGGTAGGTGATGGTAACCTCTTGACTTCGCCCTTATGTTTGATGTTCCGCGTTGGTGTAGCGGTCGCAATAGTCGTACTAGTAGTACCCGGCGTACGATCCAAAGACCCCAATCCTGGGCTCGCCCCCTCACCATTGCCCTCCCATCTCTGCTTCGGTGTAACCGATGCCTGTGCAGATGCCATCCTGGGACTAACCAAGCCGACAACCACAACTTTCTTCTTCCCCTTCCCCCACTTCGCTAACGGCTTTCCGCGCCCAGTGTGTGTCGGTGTATCAGCGTCGATATCCCCTTCTAATGAATCCACAACAGGCACAGGCATCGGTAAACAGGGTGATGACTCTGTAATTCCACCACCATCAGGGGCAAACCCACCCCTGAGCCTCAGCACCTCGTTCCATAATTCCATCCGCTTACTAAACGAAGCAATGCCTAACTACCTCATCCATCCACCTGTCAGTCTTCCAAGCTAAAAGAAACCAGAAGCAAAGAGGAGAAAAGTTTACAATCTCTTTCAAGTCGTCAAACCTCAACCTCCCGAGTAAATGCCCTCCCGTAACTCCAGCACCCACCACCCGCTTGCGCAAGTCCACCACTTCATCTAGCGAAAGTTCAATCAGCGCGCACATCCACTCTGAGACGTCTTCCGCAAGCCAATCCTTCGGATCCGGAGCCCTCACCCTCGATAACGGAAGAGGTAAAGGCAATGTCTCAGGAGGACTCGATCGCGGCGCCTTCGCTGGCGTAGAAAAAATACCCCCTACCCCACCGCCGCCGCCGCCGCCGCCGCCGCAGCTCCGACAAAAGCTATCATCAAGCTCATCCCTATCTTTACACTCTAAACATTCCTCATCAATCCACTCCCCCTCCTCCCCCTGCCCAGCCTCTAAACTCACAATTCCCTCCCAATCAAACCCCTCCCCACCACCACCACCACTCCGCAAACCCCTCAAATGCCCATTGTCAACAACAACCTCGCCAGTCAATGTATCAATCTCATCTGCCACGCCGTCAAAGTCCTGCGAGTAGCGCTCGAATATGCTTTCCCAGGCGTCCTTGAGGCGGGATTGACTAGCGAGGCGCTGGGTTGCTAGGTGTGCTTCTGCCGCCGTACGCTCCGCGGGAGTCAGTGGTGGGGGAGCAGGTGCTTTCATGCGGAGTTTGGGTTTGCGGGGGCGTGGCGGCGGTGGTGGTGGGGGAGAGTGTATTGGTGACATTTCTTTCTTCTTTCCAGGCGGCAGGTGGCTGGCTGGGTTTGCTTGTTTTGTGGTGGTGATGGTTTTTTGTTTGTTCACTTTTGGATAGTCAGGAGAGGTGAGCAAGATAAAAGTTGGTTGTGGAAGAGTTGGGAGCTGGGGGGCGGTGGTGGTGAGGCTTATGATGGAATTTTGTGCGACGCGTCGTTGTGGTTATTGTTTCTAGCTTGGTGTCTTCTTATCATATCCCTTGGCGAGCACAGGACATCCCTTGCCTACCCCTGCCAGAGCCCGGACCTGACTTAACGAGTCATGTCCGCTCACTCGGTAAAAGTTGGGAGATTTGTGCGAAATCACCTTTTAGGGCAGTCTATGATACCAATTGATAAGGACCGGAGCTTTCATCACAACTCACTTAGATTGATGTACCACGATAATGGTGTGATAAGAGTAATGCTCGAGTAAGAAGATGCAAGTATGGTAAAATAGCATCCAAATCTTCAGCCAATCCTCGAATCCCAGATTAGTAAGCCTCACTAAATAAGTGGTATTGGGGGGAGTTACTCGTATGATATGATAGAGCATTCCACAATCACACCAAACAGCTACAGCTTCAACCAGAATCCAACTAGACTCCAAACCTTCGAACATTCGACGACCAGATAAACCCGCTTAGAGAATCCCCCCCATCTATCATAATATTATCAAACAAACTTAACTAGCTAGCTAACACCCCCTCCCCCCAAACTCCCAAACTTAATAGACGAAGAAACAAACAAACGAGAATAAAAATAATAAAAGATCTTATAGTCAATGCGAGTAAAGTATGGAGACCACAATCGTTGGTGAGGAGAATGGGGGGGAAACCTAGACTTGATGATAATTAGGAAAATCGTGAGTGTGATATATACCCTTCTCTTGCACTGCCATACGTTATATCCTGTTCGCCCGTTCATCCAATTAACCAATTAATCAAGCAAGCAAGAAAAAAATCCCCAAAGAACCCAGGCACCATTCACACAGAAAAGTTGGTTTTTTCGCAAAGGAAAGAGGAAAGAGAAGAGGGATTTAGAGAGAAATGATAGGAAACCGAGAAACTAAAAATATCTAGCCTAACCTAACCTGCTATAAAGCATTCAAGAGATGAGATAAGAGAGAAATATAAAGGCGAGAAGAGAAAAATAAGGTAGAAGTCACTAGGGTATCAAAGTTAGCACACGACTCAACTATTCTCCCCACCCTCATCTTCCTCCATATTCCCCCTTTCATGCTTCCTCTGCTCTTTAAGCGCCTTAAGTTTCACTCCCATAAACTCCATGGCGTCGCCAAGGCCCGCAAGCATCCTATCGAGTTCATCCGTAACGCGCCGATCGTCGGCGTCCAAAGACATTACAGCCAGGTTCAGGGGTTCCATGGTCGGGAATTCAGTTGCGTCGACAAGGGTAGGTTGCATTTGCTCACTGCGGGGGATACCCGAGACGCCGATTCCCTGTATGGAGGAGAAGGAGTGCTGCGGGGTGTGCGACGGGTAAGTCGGGCGGGAAGGCGATGGTGGGAGTATTCCGTTTGAGACACCGTTCCCATTGTGGTGAGGATTGCCGGGTAGGTCAAGATTCAGATGGTTTGGCCTATTGGAATTGGCTTTGATCGGGGGTTTCTGAAGGCCTCTGCCTGTGATATCCTGTGAACGGGACTTACCGTGAGGTGGAGTCGAGTCTGCACTGCGGAGCTTTCCATGCGGCGAGCTGTTGATGATAGGAAGAGGAGGCGCACTAGTTCCCGGGCTACTCCCTTCGGCCGATTTCGGTGGGGGGTGACGAGATTTTAGCCCATTCTGCCCCATCAAGTTTTGCTGATAATTGCCGGGACGAGGAGGGGAAGACGGGGCGGATGCTGCCGTGGAAGGTCTCCTAGGAGAAGCATCGCGATTTTGACCATCGGGAGTCGGCGACGGAGTCGATAATCCGGTCGGGCGCAGAACCGATGCCCCAACAGAATCGGCCCTGTGAGGTCTCGTGCGAGCCATTGGTATACGGTCCGAAGAAGCCATCGGAACAAGTGGTGGAGGTGTTGGTGCAGAAGTTGGTGCGACTGGAGGTGCAGGTGGAGGAGGGGCAGCAGCGGCGGCGGCTGCTTTTGCCTGCGCTTGACGAATAATCTCTTCGTCCGAGGGCATATAAGGCATGATGATTTGGCCAATAGGGCTGTTAGACCTATTATCGTGAAGACGCATCCCGTTGCCGTCAAAGGAAGGTATTGATATCATGTTGTTTTCCGGGGTTCCGGAACGAGTACTTGAACCGCTCCTAAACTGCAAATCCGATGTTGGACCCAGCGCCCCATATCCTTTCTTTTGACCATTCTGCTGCTGTCTTTGTTGTTGCGCCTCCTCTTCGGGACTTCGGAAAAGTCGGGAAAGGCCCTCTCCAGCTCTCTGCCGGGCAGCATCAGAGATAGGTGGACTCATATGGTGGGGTCTCAGAGTGGAAACATTAGAAACCGAGCCAATTCCCTCTTGCATGAATTCTGCCACTCCCGAAAGTCTGGACTTTACTGTATCGAAGTCCCACCCGGGTTCACTGGTCAAAATAGCATTCAAGTGATCCATGTCGTTCTGTAGCGTAGCTTGCCACATAGAGTCTCGAACGCCGCCCCTACTCGCCCAATAATCATACCGAACAATAAGCTCCCTCATGGTGGAAGTAGGTAGTCTAGCAGCCTTCACTAGCTTGGAGCGTAAAAGCTCATCCACGGTAGCTCTCTCCTCCGGAACCTCATTCAAACACAAAGCCACAAACTCCCTCAACTGGTTCGACCAATTTCCGCCCTCAAGCCTCGGGGGTGGGAGCCTCGGTATCATGTCGACGACCCTATTTGGCGGAATATCGAATAATGGAGGGTTCTGCTTCGCCATCTCGATAATAGTAATGCCGAAGGACCAGATATCAATCTATAAGGTTAAAGCAGAGTGAGAAGAAAAGAATCGGCACCGAGACAAGAGCGAAGACAATCAATCAAGCAAGCAAACAAACCCTTGAATCATATAAACCACCCGATAGCGCTTCGGGAGCCATCCACTGCGGTGTTCCAACAAACGTATTCCTCTTCCCATTCTTCCCAGCGATCTGGGCGGACACACCAAAGTCACATAGCTGCACACGCCCATCCTGGCCAACAAGAATATTCGCCGCTAACTCACATAATCAGCAAACCACCTCTAGATCAACTCAATGGCAGAATTCACAGGTCACGGAGGAAATGAACGGCGCCAAAAGGGCGAGACTGAGACAAACCTTTGATATCCCTATGGATAATCCCATGCTTATGCAAATACCCCAATGCCGTCAGCGTCTCCCGGATGATAATATTGATATACTTCTCATCTATAGGACCTGCTTTCATCTAATTCCCACTCCACATCAGCACACCCCCTCCTGGACAAGGGCAAAAAAAGGGAAAAAAGACGAACTAAAGTGCGCACACTCCCTCCACTGCAAAAGTCCATGATGACCCACAACCTCGATCCAAGCAAATAGCTTCCATGGAACGCCGTAATATTTGGCGCATCCCCGGCCTTCAACTGACTCAACAATCCAATCTCCTTCTGTATATCCTTGATCTCGTCGTCGTGTTGGTCAAGGTCGAGGGACTTGACGGCAACAATCTGCTTCGTCTCGTTGTGCACACCTTTGAATACGCTGCCGAAACTGCCCTTGCCGACGAGCTCGAGGACAGTGTATGGGACTTCGAGCGGGACACCGAGCATTTCCTTGCGGACGGCTTTCTCAGAGTCTAGGCGGTTGTTAGTTATTGTAAACCGGGAGGGGGGGTTTGTGTGTGTGTTGGGGGGAAGCACTTTCTCGCACTCGAAGAGCTTTCTCGGGTGCTGAGATGGCTGACATTGCCATTTTTTGGTAGTGATTCTGGTAAACCGTAGATGAGAACCAGAAATGTAAAGTTAGAATGCGAGGACGAACGCGGGAATGGGTGAAAGAAATGAGGGGGGAGAAAGAATGGGTGGTGGTAGTGGAGCCCTCTACAAGTAACCACCCATAGAACTTGGTTGGTTGGTTGGTTTCAGGTTCAAAAGAAATTGGGGCTCCGCGGGTTATCATGCGCCAGATCAAAGCTAGTTCACACTTTGGAAATTCCTGGACGACGAAGAGTACGCTTCTTTGGGTATCGCTAGGAACACTAGAACACTCGAATGTTTACTTATGAAATACGGGATCAGCAGACAACAGGATGATGATATGATATTATGATACTGCATGTAGAGTAACTTATTTTATTTTCCCTTGCGTGTGTGGCTATCTGTCATAGTAACCCACCGCAACCAACATATCCTTTCAGGCCAATCTGAAGGCTTCAGTTTCTTCCCCGCTGAAACGTCGCACGTGTTTAACAGATTAGCTGTACGGAAACTCCCGAAGCTGTCTCATGGGATGGCCTGCAGAACGATATGATACCCACAGCCTATGATACAGGCATCCTTTTCAATCGATCAATCCCTCCTCCAACTCCCACCATGCACCAAATTTCTTTCTTCTTCCTCTTCGACTCCCGAATTCCGTCGCCAGGGTCAGGATAGAAGACAGAATGTCGAAGAAAAAAAGAAGAGAAAATAGAAGAGAGAAGAAAAGAAAAAGAAAAGAAAAACTACAATACAATACAAAAACCCCTCCAGAATCTCAAGCTATTGTTACAGATAAAGGTAGGAAAGGGGGGGAGCCCCCGGAGCTAGGAAAAGAGAGCAAAAGTATACCGAAAGGGAAAACCCGAAAAAGGAAAAATAAACCCCGAAATTACACGCAAGAATGAAGCCAATTGGTGACAAGGCGAAAAGGTGGTACCGGTAATACGATGAGAATAAGGAGAAGATAATGAAAGTATTTTGGGTATTTAGCTTTGGTTCTGGGCCGTTAGTGAACGTACTGTATACCCCTAGGGAAATGAGTAAGGCTATAAGTATTTTCTACTCGGCATCGTGGTGATAGATGTCCAAAAAACCCTCTAGTGCTGGATAGGGACGGACAGTTTGAATACTACCTTTTTTCTTGATTCCCCCCTCCCTAATAGCCTTCATCATCGGAGTCGATAAAGCCGTTGAGTTTTCGACTTCGCTTGATCTCGGCAATCTGTGAATTCCCCGGAGTCAGTGGGTCAATCATTATCCTCGAGCATGTGCGAGCAGGTAAACGGCCGGAGATCGAAATCCTACCTCCAACTCCGCCTGCCTCGCCAATAGTACCTCATCCTCACTCGGCACGCTCGGGTTCGCCTCCTTCCACTCTTTCCTAAACTTCACAGCCGCTTTATCCCACTCGGCAAGTTTTCTCTTAAACTCCGTGACACTTGCGGCATTGCTCCTCTTATTATTCTCCGTCTCATTCAGATACGGCCTTTTCTCGTCCTCCGGCGCATCTCTCCACATCTGGCCTAGAGCAGCTCGGACTTCATTCCTGGTAGCCTTCGCCTCGGGATTGTTGGTTGCCTTCCGCCGTGCCTCGTCACACTTAGCTTTACAGATGAACCAGTGGTCTTTCTGGTATAACAGGAACGGATTGGCTCCCGAGCGTCCTGGCTTTGTGGGTCGCTCGCCGAGTGCCTTGACGAGCGCTTGCTTCAATTGCTCCTCATAGACCTCTAGACGTGCAGATTTGAGTTCGCGAGCTTTCTCGATCACCGAGTCTTCTGCTTTGCGTTTGGACCCCGAGAGTGAGCTATACGAACCTTGAAACTTGGGCTTTGGTGGGATCAGGGGTGAGGGAACTTGTATTGGGCCTAGTATGGATCCCGCTATCTCGCTGGCAGCTTGAAGGCCACTGATGTATGCTCCGTGAACAGTGGCTGGATATGCCCGACATGAAGCCTCGCCAGCAAAGTAGAGAGAGTTTCCTACGGGCTTCGCCATGATGTCGTAATCATCGGCTGTGGCTTCAGATCCAACGAATGAATAGCTACCGCGAGAGTAGGGATCCTTCTGCCAACGGGTCACAATAGTCTCTGTGGGTAATGGGACAGGCTTGTCCGAGTACATCTTTGATAACGCAGTCGTCGCCTCATTAATCAATGTGTCATCAGATTCGAGCTCAGTCTGTGTGGCGGCATCCCCAGCCATCAAAGCCACTAGAAATAATGTACTTAGTAAGCTGTCAAGATCCGAGTGATAGTACGGGAGGGATGGGGTCTTATATACCTAGAGTAGGCTTCCCGCTGGCCTTTGTGCAGTTCCAGAACATGTAGAAACGCCCTCTATTAGATTCATAGCTCTCCTGTATTGTGGGATCACCGAGAGGATCCCTCAGAAGACCAACCATATCGTTTTCTACATCCCAGAAGGGCACATCATAGACGAGAATGACCTTTCCTACGCATCAGTATTGTGGGGCAAGTGAAAAACCCGAACAAATTGGATTAAATTATATACCTTGTTCAGCAGGCCATATCCTAATCGTTCAATGGCTCCGCTCTTCCACTCCGGGAGGGGTGGTTCAAATGTTACCGTCTCCGCCTTTAGCACCCCCAAGGGCACAGTGATAACCACTTTATCGGCGCTAAGAGTCTCCCCATTCTCGCATTGGATCCGCGCACCACCTTCTACTCCTTTACTGGAATTATACGAAATCTTTTTGACTACATGTCTAGTCCTAAGATCCAGCTTCCTGGGACTCAACCACAATCCTCTCGGAAGCTGCGTATAACCACCCAGCAACATAGCATGTGCCCCACTGAAATCATTCCCATCATCCTGATCCCAATGGCCGAGACTTAACAAATCGACATTGGCGGCATTAGCATACTCCAAGTTTGCGTAATGCCAATTGATTAATCGAAGGTCCCGCGGTGCGATATCAATAATGTCCTGATACTGCCGAAGCACGGAATCCATCGTCTTACCCAACGTCGGGTGCCGCGAATCCGAGCCATGGGGCTCCAAAATTATTGTCTCCTGTCCAGTGGTGCCGGGTTTGAGCTCCCATCCAAGTTTTCGCACCTGTTCCGCCCCAGGAATTCTGGCGCTTGAGCCTGTAGCCGTCGATGGCTTCCCGGTGAGTTTGTCGACGCTAGCTGAAAATGTATTGTCCTGACCAGATGAGATGGGGGTCGGTGGGCGTGGGTCACCCGCAGCCGCCACCTCAACTTTTGATATCATGTCTCCGCCCTCCCCAGTTGGGTCCTTGCCAGTGTCTATGAGTTCCCTATCTCCTTCCACTGTCCTCGGCTGCGGGCCTCTCTGCTTGAAGATGGATACTCGATCTAGAATGTCATTGTAAAGTCTCTCAACTAGCATATCTCGATCCTTTGGAGCCAAGGTTCCATCGGAATCGTACAGGGAAGAATTGTCCTTAAGGCTGTGATAATGCAATGCTAATTGGCCGCGGATCAAGACACCTAAGGGATTGCCGTTATCGAATCCAGTTATGACTTGCGCCCCCAAATCTGCAGTCGCCCGCTTTCCTTCCGGTAAATTCACTCCGGCCTGGCTTTTCAGTGGGTGCGAATATATTCTCCCACCTAGTCTCCCCCTCGCTTCCAGCACAATGACTTTGGGCATCCCCTCACCTGCGGGTAACCTGTCACCAAACTGCGTAAACAGGCCCTCTAGTTGCCTAGCACATCCCAGCCCTGACATGCCGGCCCCTATAACAACAATGGTTTTCCCGCGCTTCGCATTGCCCAGGTTCGCAGGTATAGTGCTCGGAACTTCCACGCACCCGAAATTGATATAACCACCCCTCACTAGAACCTCATATGCCACCTCAGCTACATCAAAAAACCGGTAATCCTTCGCACATCCTGCCGCTTCCTCTCTGGTAACGCTGACGAGTGGATTCCGTTGCCACAATCGTAAGATACCATTCCGTATGTGGATATACGTCGTGACCTGCAGGTGATTGATGTGGTCTTTCAGGAGAGAGTACTCATTCGGATGCAAGGCGTGTGGTGGGAGTCTGCTAGCAATTGCCGCTTGGACGCATTGCCTTGCGTACTCCTCCGCTGTCAGATCCTGCGGGATTGCTGTTTTGGGGCGGAAGTCGGCGCGGCCCTTGATCAACGTCCGGTCCGGCACCGTTCTTACTGTGGGGGTCGATGATGGCTTTGCGGACGCTGGCGCCGAATCAAGATCCATGGGGCTAGTAGTTTCAATATTCGACGATGGTGAGGATAAATTGGTGGACTCCGCCGAAGCGCCGTGACCCGGTACGGTGGGCCGTGGAAGAGCAGTTATAATCGGTCGTGGCTGCTGCTGCTGCTGTAGTTGCTGCTGGAGAAGTTGGTCCTGTGCCTGCTGTACCTGCTGGACTGCATGGAGCTGTTGAGCTTGGAGCTGACGTTGTTGCTCTTGCCGCTGGGCCTGCTCTTGAGCCTGAAGAGCCTGCCATTGTGCATGTTGGGCCATATCGGGAACCTGACCCAAATTTCCCTGCTGCTGAGCCTGAGATTGTTGTTGCTGTTGCTGTTGGACATGATTTTTTTGAGCTTGAATAACCTGCGACTGTGCATGGACACGCTGAACTATATCAGTAGGTTGACCCATGTTCCCCTGTTGTTGTTGTTCCAAAGTTCCCGGATTAACCTGTTGACCCCTCTGGAGCATGAGTTGTTGAGGGTGGCTATACTGTTGCATATGGTTGAACAATTGCTGGAACTCGACATTGACATTCCCTCCCAAAGATAAAGCCTGCTGCCATTGCTCCGCCGTAGGCCCCTGAGGGTAGCCGCCACCGGGCCCTTGCACATAACCCTGCTGTGAGTAGTACTGCTGCTGAGCTTGTTGCTGCTGCTGGGCCGGATCATTCAGGTAGAATAAAGGGTCTACCATACCATGCGCCGCAGCCGCCTGTTGAGCCGTAGTCTGGTGCGGACTATAAGAAGCTTGCTGTTGAGCTGCTTGGGCGTGGGCGGCGGTCGCAAGTGAATCCATACTTCCCATGTTCTCAAAGTAATTCGTATTCGCACCAGCGCCATTGGGGTCCAAGGAGGTGGCGCCGTGCGAACTATGGTCGTCCGGTACTGAATCAGCCATGATTTAGAGGAATTGGCTGAAGAAAACCTCTAGACCCCCCCCTCTCTTATCAGTAACAGGTTCGCTGGTGTCGGTGCCCTTCCCCGTGAACAGCCTTTTTTTCCGTGCGAGCTGGGGGATTTCGGTTGTTGCTTAGGGTCTGGATGAATTTGAGTTGGGTTTCCCACTTTCGCTGGACTAGCTCAAGGTGCCGGAATTTATTTTTCTAGTTGAAATTTTGGCTGACTACGGAGGAGGCAAGCACACGCGCGAACGCGAGAGGATTAAGGATGGGAAAATATGTATAAAAAATGAAAGGTATGGATGGAAAATGAGTAGGAGGAATATAAGCACCGATGGATACTTTTACAAAATTGAATTGGACTCTCTTTGGTTGTGACGATGGATAGGGTTATGCCTCTTGGTTCCTGAGGATTTCGGTTGCTTTTGACAAATTGATTGTTAGATCTCTAGCAGCAAGGATCTTGGCAAGCCGTTACCCGGAGCTTGATGGTCGTCAACTTCATCCAATCAGATCTGATTGATTAGGTTCATTCATAATCCCAATCATGCCTATCAGCCATCAAATGTCTGCGGCAGGGTATGCAACTTGCTTGACCTAGGGTTCGATCATTGATGTTGCAATCCTGCTGGACGTTTGCAAAGAAGGGAAAACAACATCACAAAAATGCTAATAATTATTATTACTATGTCGTGGGATTAGAAGTCAGTGCGGTAGTCTATCCTACAGATGCCTCTATCAAAAGCTAATTCAAACCAAATTTCTTCCTACATATCAGATTAGACTAAACCGCTCGCCCTCCACTCCACTCACCTGTATGATGCATCTCCCAACCTGAAGTTCAGCCCTATGGCAGCCCCCCTCACAATGAGGATTGCCTAGCCCAGATTTATGATACCATGGGAGATAAAAAAAGATTACTCTGGACCCTTGAATCTGATATGTACCGATACCAGAGAAAGATCGCGGGAGCACGTGGCTGCAGGGATGTAGAACCACGATGCAATCCATAATTCCCTGAATACATACCGGCATCACGATATGGTGTACAAAACGTGTTATCGGGGCAATTTCTTGATCGATACGATATTACAAACGAGTAATGACCGGATCCATCGATATTGCAATATTGTAAAATTGGTTGTTATTGAGGGTGCCGGCGTCTTGCCTGAACAAAACCATGGCTCGGCAGGAGGGAGGGGGTTGGTTTGTAAAACTTGACCGACTACCGGTAGTCTACCGGTATGCTATATAGTATTACAATAGTCTGCAGGATCGGCGGCTGGCAAGTGAGCGGCACGGTCGAGAATACTGGCATCATACCCTCTCCACGACAGCCATATTCATTGAGGGGGTATCACCAAACTTTATGATCCCCACCATATATCGAACTTAAATACGGTGGAAGTAAAATTTCGGGCGCAGAAAGTATCGGACCCAGGTGAAGTTACAAGTGACGGAGTAGCGGCAATCAATATACACAGGGGCAAAAAGAAAGAGAAAAAAAAAGAAGAAAAGAGTATGGATTCGGATCAATCTCGGCTTACAATATCACCACGATAGTTAAGAGGAGTGAGGAGGCCGGCGCGAGAATATAGAATAAAGGAAATCCACCGCATATAACTCAAAAGAGAAGAAAAAGGAGAGAAAATAAATGAGTTCGCTTATCCCACTTTACATCTCAACCCGTTTCGCAAGAGAAAGATAAAAACATCAAAGCCATGCCGAAACGAGTTGATGTTATAAACGTAGCTTCCAGGTTCACCATTGACACAAATGAAGATTAAAAGGAGTTTTCGTGATCGTCTTGTTGCATCCATTTTCGTTATTTCGTTGCCCAGATGCCACGAGCAGATGCATCAAAACTCCGCTTTGGCGATAGAGGGAAGGAGAGAAGCGACGTTTTTCTCTACTGAGCATTCGTCTGGAAGTTCTTGGGTCGCCTGGAAGAGGGGATATCAGTAAAGTAGGTAAATTGGAGAGGACGAGTGCGGTAGAGGTTACTTGAATAGTAGGATGTGCGGCTCCGGAGCATGAATCTCATAGTGCTGCCATCCCAAACTCTGAGTTATCCCAAGCCCTCTCCATTCCTCCTCGTGGAGAATTTTGAGAGTTCCCGTCTCGGTGTCGAAATAATCCTTGGGAATCTGTTTCAGCATTTGCTTTGGTAGCATAACATGCCTATAATCTCAGAGCTCTACAACTGCTCCCTTTGTCAATAGGCTCGGTGAACCTT